TTTTTTTTTTTTCTATATTTTTATTATTTTTTTATTTTTTTTTTTTTTTTTTTTTCTTTTATTTTTTTTTCATTTTTAATTAATAAAATTTAATATTACTATTTTTTACCCCCCCCCCCCCCCCCCCCCATCCCCATCTTGTTAAACTGATATCTCAAGGTTCATTAATACTAAGACTTAAATTTTTTCTTTGTCTTTTGACCGTATTAAATAAGAAATGTCAGACTCTTGAAATAGTCTTACAATAAAATAGAATTTTGAAATAAACGGAAATATATGCTGTTTTGACATAAAATATGTTTATTCTCTAAGAGGAAGAAAAATCGAGAGAATAACGCTTACGGTTCAACAAATTCTAATCATTTCTGAGTGACACGAAGTATTAAACGTGTGAAAAAAGAAAAACATCAAAAATTTTTAAGTAGGGGTAACAAAGAAGAAAGAGGAGATAAATGAGTTTGTTGAATAACATTCACAAAATTGCCTCTATTTATAGTGTCTACTAGACACAAAAAGAAAAAAGAAGAGGAGTTGGGTGTATTGTTTTGTTAATTGAAGAAAAGACAAGATGATATGTTAAAATTAAAATTTATAAAGAAAACATCATTCTTCAACATCTTTTTCTTTCTTTTCGTTTTTTAATACATCACTAGACCAATACAATAGTAATTCAGAGTTCATATTATCCTCTTACGCTCTCTTCATCTAGAAAAGTGAAAATATTCTTAGAAGTAATCAAGAAAAACGATAATGAGAAAAGTAAAATTGAATAACAAATTGTTCTTAAGGAAACATAAAGTCCTAAAGAGAATTAACAACAACAAAAAAAAAAAAATAAGTAAATAGATATTCACTTTTGATAAATGAAGTGAAACTATTTTTAGCTATCTATCAATTTCTCAATCATTTTTCTGGTTTTTCTAAACAGATAAACAGATGAATTTTACAATAATTAGATTTTTGTTTGTACAACGTATGTTTTATTCAAAAGACTGGTGTGTGTGTGTGTGTGTGTGTGTGTGTGTGGAAAGAGTACCATCTTTTGATATAGTGTCGTATTATAAATCGAAAGAGATAAAGATAATGATGTCAACTGCTGATTATCTTGTACATGCGTGATCGATCATATTTATTTTGGTCTATAAAAACAGTCACGTTTATTAGGACTTCATTTTTTAATCAGTAAAAATTAATCATAATAAAAAAAAATATAAAAAATGAGAAAATAATCACCATAATATGAATGATGGTGTTGTAATTCAAAAATAACGTTGTTAAATAAACGTTTTATAAACTTTCATTTGTTTTTGAAAAAAACTGATGAGTGAGTTTAGATTATTCCAATTTGAATATATTGTGAGAATAACGACAAATGTTTCTCTTAATAAAACATTTTTTATCTTTAATCACTTGTGTGAAAAAATGAGGTATTGGAAATACTCTAATGAATCAGTAAACGGTTTAAAATTAAAATGTGATATAGCCGAAAGAAAAAGATTTCATCAAATTTCTTATAATAATAGTGAATAATATTCAGATAGATGATAAAGGCGATTGACAATCGCCAACACATCTCTCACTGTATAATTTAATGAGTATAACAATTATTAAAAGTCGAATAGATCGTATCTATTTTAAATTTTATAAAGCTATATGAAATGTGAAACTCGAGTTGATACAATTTTAATTTAATTTAGTTTTAAAATCGGTTTTTCAGTGATCAGAGACTCAAATAGAACTCATTTCTGAACAAATCAAAAGAAGATACCAGAACCAGTTTCGACCTTTCTCGAAAGTCTTGTCAGATGGTTTCCTTGGAGACAGGCAGAGTTAAGACACGACAGGCAACAGTCCCAGTCCACACCGCGTGAGGGTGTTATTATTCCTTGTTCTTATCGAATAAAGAATGATAATTTTCACACGAGGAGTTGGGGTTAGTCACTATAAAATAGAGAATTGTGACGTTATGTCTTTCTCTATTCTGTCAGAAATAAGAAGATTAATAAGAAAAAAGATGGACGACCACTTCCCAAGATCAAACCATAAATATGGTGTCTTTCACATTTGTCTCAACGTTGGTTAGTGAAAGTTAATAGATACAGTTTAAGTTTAAAAGGATGAATCATTTCTGATGGAATAAAGGAAATACTTAATGAAGAGACGCAGAATATGTGCAGTGGTCAGTGATATTATACTCCACTCTCATCGTGTGAAAGTTATCATTCTTTGATCGATGAGAACAAGAAATCACATCCTCACATGCTGTGAATAACTGAATTTTTCTTCTCTTCTTTTGAAAATCATTTTTTCCGAGAAAACGGGAGACTTCTCATTGTTTAAGGACTATATATTCGAAAAGTTGACTGAAGATGGTGAAAATGATTTCTTGATGTTCTGCGCATATTTTATTTTTACTGACAAATACACTTTTTAATAAATTGTAAAAGAAATTTTCTAAAAAATCAGACATCCAGCCAAAATCTGAGGATACCTGAAGAAGGAAGAATAGTCCTCCTTTTGTCTACCGGTGTAAGGTAATTATCGAATAGCAGTTTCAACAGATACCTTCTCTGCAGTTGTAAGCTTCTACGATGGTCATCCATCTCGTTACTAATTATCAGCCTTACCTCTCAAAAGAAGGCTAGCTTGACGCAGAGTTCTTGTGTTAGACTAGCCACAGTGAGGACATGGCTAGTGGATATGTTGTTCGTCATGTACTTTAAGCGTACGATATTTATATTCGAACCTCGGTGCTACCAGCTCATGTAATAACCTTGGACAAGTTACTTATATCTTAGTGTCTCGACTCACCTGTCCGACAGCATATTCACTACGTTGTAGCGTACAATACAGCTCCTTCTACTAGTTCGCGTGGCTTTTCGGAAAACTAATACATGATTGGTAAGTGTTTATTAAGTGTTTGCTTAAGTAATTGAACGAAATAACTCTGCGTCATGCTTGAAAAAAGTATTTAACAAGATTTGCAAAAACAATGTGGAGAGTACTTATTACTCCAGAATAACTCTAAAAAAATGTTTTTTGCTATGATTAACGATGCACCGAAATTTATCGGTCACAATTCCATATTTTTTTTCACAGAAGGCTTTTTGTAACGCAAAATAATCTTCTAGAAATTTTTTAACCACAAGGTTTTGTAGAGCAAACATTTGCTTACAAAATGAGATATGACAGTATGTTTCGTATTAATTCAATAGTTAGATAAAAAATATTTACTAAACACTACACAATATTGTACTGATATCGACTTATGGCTCTTTGCAAAGAAGCAATTACGACAAAAGGAAAAGAGATGAAGAGCTTCGTCATGTCTTATTGTGTATAATAATATTTGGTCTACAAAACTAAGCCGTCAAAAAACTTTAATATTTTGTACTTTAGAATCAATATGATTGAGAAAAAAGAATAAGTAATATGCGTAAATAATAGTGCATGGTTACCCTAATGAATGTATTCATACCGCGAGTACGACTTACTCAAAATATTATACCAGAGTACTCGACGAGTAGGAAATACTTATTCACCTTTTTGTTTTGCAAAGATGTCCCTATATAAGATACACAGATTTCACTATAGAAAGTGAGTATCTGACAATATTTCCCGAAGGCCTCCCCCGCCCTCTCAGAAATACGAAATTTTTGTAAAAAGGTCAATATTGAGCTAAGCACAATAGATGCCTACTGTCAGAATCCATGACAGCAAGACCTTCATCGAGGGTTTCTGTAAGTTTTTTAGATACTTTGCCGGAAACGCCGAAAAACTGACTTTTCCACTAACGCTATGTGTTATCAATATAAAGTCGAGAGAAAAAGAAGCTCTAGAGCAACTAAGTTGTAGAGCGAAGAGTTCTGATCAAAATGAGACGTTTCCCAACTCGAGGCAATGTACCAACGAAAAGTTATAAGAATTTGAAATACAAGCCGTAAAATATGCATCGTACACTAGCGCCATTTTATGCCACAAGCGAACTTTGTGTTCACACAACTTTATGGCTGCCGGATTCTACGTAACAGAGCGACGTAAAGAGCTCTGGTTGGTATTAAAATGAAGCTAACGCATGTGGTTAGAGACTAATACAGCCTGACTTTGGATATTCAGTCTAGATTTGTGTTTAGAAAACATCTTTGTGCAAGTTAATGAAATTTTTTCAAATTTTGGACTTTTGACGTTGCCCATTATTTTGAAAAGTAAAATATCCAAAATCAGGCTCTATTAGTCTCTATCCGCATGTGTTTTCGTCATTTTGAGACCCTCCCGAGCTTTCCATGACGATTCGTACGAGCAGCCTCATTTTGACCCTTAAGTGAACGATATCTCTGAAACAATGATATATGACTTCGCCAAAATTTTACAGAAAAAAGAGTACAATCATAAGATAAACATTCCCTGAAAGCTAAGTCCAGATCAGACTTTTAGTTACCGAAACACATTTCTGACGACAGAGGGGAAGGGGGGGCCGGAGAATAAAAGAATGATAAACGAAAAAATGTTCAGAAATACTCAGAGGTATTATATGACATCTCATATGAATACTTATAAAATTGTCATACGAGTACTCATAAAACTACTTAGTGATTAAAAAAATGTATGAATACTCGGTGCATTTTTCTATATGAGTACGCCTATGAGTACTTATGCTTGAACACATTCACTTGGATAGTTATGACTGAACGTTTAACGTATGCAAAGGCGTGGGAAAACATGACTTGTATCACAACATATTTCTGCTCTTCAAACATTTCTCTAACGTACTGCGCACTGACCTGTACATTGTCCTCTGCCGAATAATTGAACGCGCGTGAAAATTTTGTTTTGTTGAATGTATTTTTACTTTCAAATTTGTTAACGTATCATCTACCGTACTTTAGCGTAGGACAGTCTTTCGAAACACGGCATATTATCTAACGTGCGTGATACTTATGTTTCATTTCTGAAGAAAAGACACTGATATCTCTTTTATAGAATGACAATTTCCCAGGACATAATTATACGAGTGTCAACTAATTTTCTCAGATTAATTACGCAGTAATTTACTATTATCACGGAAATAAATAAAAGATATCTCCAACTGATATTTGTGAATAAAATTCGCACATCCAATGTTACATTGGTACGTCTATTCGAAATGATATTTTTTGTTTTAAATAGATTTTATTACATAAAAAAATAAAACAAAATATTAAGAAAAAGAAGTTAATGAACACGCCGTTTTTTAGAGCATCTCTATATCGATCACGCGTGAGTACAGATGATAATATCGAGTTCAATCTCAACAAGTTACCGTGCATTTCGTGACCGTGTGATTGACTAATTCTATACGAAAAAATGTTTAATGGCATCTTCAATGTGTGAAAATCCCTAGCTAGTGAGTATGCATGAATTTCTCAGACACAGTATAGAGTCCTGCAGGTTAACCTAAACCTATAGGTTAGGGTAGATTTAGGTTGCTGAAGTTGTAGATTAATTAAGATTAGGTTACGAAGGTTTAGGTTATAGAAATATCTTTGGAATTCTCTATTTTTGAAAAATGACATAAGAAGGCAGAACATTCGAAAGACGACGAAATTTGAACAGTGACGATGTTCAAGAAAAAAAGAAATGTTCAGTTGATGATATGTTATTTTTACGAAATTTTTAGAAAAATATAGTTTTTTTATTGTTTAAAAGAAAGAAATAAACAAGTATTTGAAATAAGTGAAAAAAATATGTAAAAAGTTAAAAATATAAAAACTTTATAAGATAAAATTTCTAGAGTAGATTAGGTTAAGTTTAGGGTGTTGAAGTTATAGGTTAGGTTAGGTTTAGGTTAGGTGAACTTCAATAGATTTAGGGCATAGATTACAAAAAAGTCTTAACCTACATGACTCTAGCATAGAAGCACGTGAAGAAAATCTGAATCGAGACGATGCTACGTGTCCTAGTTTATAATCGGTACTAACTTGTTGGAAGACCAATACGTGATAACGTGACAGAAACAGATTAAAATATTTGAAAACACTAAACATCACGTTTTTACACCGTTTAGAGTGTATAAAAAAACAAAATATACAAAATAGATGACTCTAAAATTTTAAATTTTCTCAATTATTCATAGAATAAGTTTATAAAAATGTTAAACTTCACTAAATTTTCAAATTGTTTGATAGATATGTATTGTCACTTATGAACGAGAATCAAAGAACATTGACAGTTAAGGTACTACTTCTATTCCTCTTATTTTGATAATATTTTAGCATTCTTTACATTACAAAGAACGATCTTATATAGGTTTTATTCCAATGTTCTTTAGATGAAGAATTTTGTTTTCTGACAAATGCGCGCTATACAAACATGTCCTTGAAATTTAAAAGGTCAACGAGTGAGTAAGAAACTATATTTTATGATACACTGGATCTGAGGTGTGAACATAGATCGATAAACCAGGCGTTTTCATCCTAATAGGGCTAGAGAATGATGATAATGTTTTCCATAAGATAATACCCAAGTACGTTATTCTAACGCCTCTAGTATAGTTTTCTAAATCACTAAAAATATGTCATCCTCATAATTGTTATCTTAGTTTTTTCCTTTTTGTCGAAATATTGTTCAGCTTTTTCCTTTCTCTTTCTCTCTCTCTCTCTCATTTTATCAACATATTACTCTTTAAAATAGTTGTGCAGCGATTAAATAAAGTGTTTTTTGTATATGTTAATTTCTTTTCCAGAAGTCGTCCTTTTTTTCCCCTTTTTTTTTTTCACTTTTTTTTTTGTTTTGTTTCAAATGACGATTGTGATCATAATGTTGATTTCGTGACTTTAATATGTTTTCTATCTCTATTTCTCTCTCAAAATATAAAAGCTTTTTTCACAGTCCTATCATGGACATCCTGGAGTGTAATACCACGACTAGATAATCTTCTTTTCTTCTCTCTCTCTCTTCTTATATAGAAGTTATTTAGTCAATATGATGATGATAATGACGATGTGCAGACAGATAAAAAATAAGTATCATATTATTAATATTTCTGTATATCTACATCTGTCAATATTGTTATAAACGGTAGAATATTAAAAAAAAACCTAATGCATTTTATATACGGTATACCTATTTGTCCATTATGTCCATTATATACTGAAGAATCGATAAATGATTTTCAAAATCATGATGAACCAACATTTAAAAGAGTTTCTTTGTTTTCTAAAAAATTGCAAGAAAGTTTTTCAAAACAACATGATAATGATAGTAATGATGATAATGAAAAACGAGATGAAGGATTTGATGAAATATCGTTAAATATTGAATTAGTAAGTACAAAAAACTTTTCTTTTTTTAGTTTTTTTTTTTATCTATTAGAAAATATTAATTAAAGAAAGGTGTTCTCTGTGTATTTTTTCTTTTTTTAATTAAACTGCGCCTCTGCTATTTCTAAGAGAAAGAAAACCTATGTTTTATCATCTGATAGTAAAATATCATTAATTTTGTTTGTTCTAGAAGCGTAAGACGTCTTTTAATCTCGAACTAATAACACTCATTGCCTTCGTGTATGAGAAACAATAATTTTCTTAAAAATATTATATTCTCACTTTAAATAAGCTATTTGAAAACGTATATAAATAAATAAACAGACATTTTCTTTTCTTGTTTTTTCATTAGTCAATGAGAGGGATCTTGTACGCTCAATTCTTTAATCTTCTTTTCTTCTTTTTTTTTTGTCTGACTATCTCAACTCTCAATTTTGAGTATTTTTAGTGTGTTAAAAAGTATTGTCATATCACGGTGACATGAAATGAATATAACTATACCATATTTTCTGGTATACTATCATTAAAAGTTATGACATTTGTTCACATTCGCAAGATAAAATAGAAGAAACAGACAAAAAAGAAAATTCTTATTATTTGTGCAACATCTTCATCACTTGTTCAATAGTGTTATAATCTACAATGGTTGTTCAGGTTATCATGACTTTTTTTCTTGTCTCAAATAAACTCTACACTGATCTATCGATTAATAAGATTGTTGAATAGTAGGAAACAAATAAATATGGGTATCTCTCATATCTAGCATGAATAGAACACAGCCGATCTTATATTCTGTTGTACCTTCACCTCCTTTAGGGATCGCGATTGATTTTTGGTTAGAATGGAACTATAATTGTGACCGAAAACTTCTAAAGAATTTTAAAAACTAACTTATTCTATGTGAAATGATTAGAGATGAGAGACAGACTTATGCCCAGTTAGAAAAGATGCACTTCTCATTAAATATCTACGTAAAAATTCAATACCATAAACAGTTTTTAACAGTCGTCAATGTCACAATTTTAGTGGCGAAAAAGTCACGTCAAAAAATTTCTCCCAAGGGAATCCCCATTTATTTTGCTAAATTTCGATAATTTGGATTGTTGATTTTTATATTCTAAATAGAATTTTCAAACAAAAATTGACTTGGAAATGTTTATCTTTAATGGTGCACTCTTTCTTCATGCTAAATTTCTACTTGGTTTTCACTTTTCTTGAAATAGTATTGTTAAAGTAATTGTATATTTGTAATGAATTCTTCGGAAAGTCTTCTTGACACCTTAGTCGCCGATATGAGCAGTTTCACTGCTATGAAGCTGTTCAGTCAATGTTTATGTTTCAACTCGATAGAAGAGAGATAAACTTTTAAACTTTTCTCAGTTAATCTGTTATATTCATATATTCCAGTAAGATGCGATAGAATTCAAACTTCGAGTGAAATTTATTTCTGACTTTTTCACATACCATTGGATAGAGAATTTGACGCTGATCACGAATATAAGTGACCCGACTTTTTGAAAAGGATTTTACTGGTCGAAAAATCGGGAAAACCCCAAAGGTGTTCGTAGAAAAAAAGTAATGTTTTAGAAAAATGGCTATAACTTTTTTGCGTTTTGCTTTTAACGCTCGCGCTAAAGCCTTTTGGATTTAGCGTCAATAACTGAATCTAGAAAAGTAAGTTTCAAGGTTTCGGACCGAAAAATGGTTTTTTCACAGCGTCCGAAACAGATAGGGCTTTAAATCCAAACCGGTTTTTGCAAATCTTATTTCGTTTTTTGTAGAGATTCCAGAGCCAATATTGTACATGGCTCGATCCGCTGTCTGCTCCTCTTCAAAAGTATACACGTAGATTTTTGAAATTTTTTTCTTCGCTGAGTAAAAATCGTTTTTTCTAAAACCAGAGGCAAAAAAGTCGGTTAATTTTTTTCGAATTTTCACGTTGAAAAATCATGAGATTTTCACCAAAAAATAAAACTGAACAAAAAATTTCGAAATACACATCGGTCGATTTGTCTTTTGATCCTGATTCCAAATATGATATGTTTATTGCATAGAAGTTGCGTTCTGTTGAAGAAAATTGAAATTACGAGGAGAATTCCGACTTTTTCGCCTCCGGTTTAGAAAAAACGGTTTTTGCTCAGGGAAGAAAAAAAAGTTCAAAAATCTACGCATATACTTTTGAAGAGGAACAGACAACGGATCGAGCCATGTACAAATATTGGCTCTGCGAAAAACGAAAAAAAGTACCAAGATACTGGTACTTTACACTGGAATTAGCGGAATTCCGTTAAAACTGATAAGAAAAATTCTATATGGTACGGTCAGAGAAAGAAAACAACAACAGAAGACCTGATACATAGACATATTTTTATGTTTTTGGCATATCAGGCTTTTGTATCTGTTTTGTTTCACTAAACGGGTGTGATATTTTCCTGTTTTACAATACAATACACGTTTTGAAAAAATGATCTGAACGTATTTTTTTATAGGCGCATTTCGATACGCCCAGTTTTTTCATTTTGGACGCACTCAAATATATCTGACAGTAATGCTAAACGCGTTTGAGACATAATTTTTATACGGTTAAGATCACCCATACAGAACACTTCAGTGATGTGTTTTACGAAAAATATCTTAGATTCTTTTTTTTCTTGTCCCTGTATTCAAAATTTCTAACATCTAAACAGTTAAAAATTTCACTCTTAAACATCTTCATCATAAATGGAAAGAATTAAAAGTATTTCTATTTATTAAACTTTTCGTTCAACGTTTAAACATATCGTAATACAAAATAGAATAACTATTGATATCTTCTTTTGTAAAACAAAAAAAAGTCAATCGATAATCGATTACAAATAGATAATGATCTAGTTGTTTAATTATTTCTAAACAGTAAACTATCGTATGCATATCATGATGACGTTTATCCATTCATTCATTCATTCATTCATTCAATTTCTTTTCTTTTTTGTTGTTTTCTTTTTTCTGATGTGATTATTTTCTATTGGGAATGCGTTTATATCTGAATAAAAAAAAACATGCACACGAATAAATTAACAAATTCATCTTCAATTCTATCATCTTAACAATTTTTTGTTAATTTATTTCTAGAGTCCAAATGCGTTCAATGATCCACGTGGGTCAATAGTAAATAACAGTCCATATAAAGAAGATGGAACAATATCAAAAACGGGAAACAACGGAAAGTATGTAGACATTCTTTTGATAACTAAATAATAATATAAAATAGCTTTCTTAGAGCGAAACTCATGTTCTTTCGAATACGTTTATTGATCGTGTCAATAACGATACCAAAAAAAAAAAAAAAGAAAAAAAAGTGAACAAAATAAAAAAAAAGAACAAAATTTTCTCTTGACCTAAAATTGTCAACATTTATAATTACCGAGTAAAGAAACGATTAAATACAATCAGCTGTGTTGTCCTCGTTATTACTCAAACAATTATTTATGTTTCTCTTCCTGTTTCTACCTTAAAGTAGTACTAGAACTATAGCGTTAAAAAAAACGAAAAAAAATCATTATTGTTAGAGTCAATCCTTTATTACCCCCTTTTTTTTTCTTCTTCTTCTTCTTCTCCTTCTTTGATTAATTCAATTATATTATTTGGAAGAACGATGTCATCAGTGAAATTAAGATGTAAATATTTACATTGTCCACGTATTTTAAAATTAAAATTTCATTTACCACTATTAGATAGGAATAATGAGACGAATAATTATGAGAGTGATATAAATATATGTCATAGCAGTATAATTCATCAAAATTTAGTACATATTCATCAATTATTTCAAGATAATATTCAAATATCTGAGAATAATCGAGAAAATTCACATTTTATTATTCAATTTACGACTGAAGAACATTTTACAGAGATGTATGTCTATCTACTATTTGACTCTTTGATTTTCAACATCAAATTAACATATCACAATGGAGAATGACTAAAAAAATTTTATTACTAAGAAAACAAAAATAAAATCAATATATTCTAATGTAATGTTTATATTTTCTTATTTTAGTGGAGTTGAACCAAATAATGCATTTTATAATTGTATTGATAGTGCACCTGATATACCAGAACGAGGAAAGGCGGCACCATTGGATAGTATTCGATTGGATATGGTATAAATTTCATTATTTTCATTGAATACAATGAAGTATATATTAAATTTTTATATTTTATTTATTTTTCAGGGACTATCGGCAGGTAAACGATCAGCCGGTGTTTCTAGTGCAATTGGACGACATAACTTAAATGATGAAGAACTAGTATGTATTCTATAAAATCATATTTTTTTCTATTATAATAATTTAATGTTATTATTGTTTTGTTTTTTATTTAGCGTACACATGTATATAAAAAAACGTTACAAGCTCTTATTTATCCCATATCTCTTACTACTCCACACGATTTTGAATTTTATAATTTTACTCATCCAACTTATTGCTATGAATGTGAAGGTCTACTATGGGGCATTGCAAGACAAGGTCTCAAATGTTCAGAATGTGGAGTCAAATGTCATGAAAAATGTAAAGATTTATTAAATGCCGATTGTTTACAACGTAAGTATAAAAAAATTCTTCATTTTCTTTTTTAAGTTTTTAAAAATTATATTTATAGAATCTTTGTTTATTTAACATATAGAGAAAAATATGTGTATGACATTTATCTTTGTCGTAGTAATCTTATCGTTCGTATTTATTTGACATACATTCAATAATACAATGCAAGTAAAAATTAATTAAAAACAAAAAACAAAGCTAAAAAAGTAGCAACAATTTCTAACAGAGTGACCTAATCACACATATACACACGCACAAATAATAAATAACATAAAGAAAAATGGAAAATCGTTAATTACACAACTTCTCATCAAATGATCAGTCACTTTTCCGCAAATTATAGTTGATATATTTTTTCGTGAATAAAAATTGTACAGACACTGGCACTATAGCGAACTAGCACGAGCTTTCAATTAATTTCAGCTGAATTATAGAATTAATTAAGGAACTAATTTTACGCTTTAATTTAATGGAAAATCTGAATTTTTCAGTTTTTAGCATTTAACGCTTTCTAACTCCAAAAAGAAATGGTTTTTTCAGAGATCCTAATCAGAGGAAAGGAGGATGGACAAAGCATGACAACCATAGAAGTTTCCGGTCACAATTATAGCTCCATTCTGACCAAAAATCAATCGCGATTCTCGGATCCATTAGTTCTAGAAGTGTTTTCTAGTGAGATGACTCAATGTATTCTTCAATTTAGTCAGATCAGAATGTATTCTATTGAAAGCTCGTGATAGCTCTTGAAAAATTCGATTTCTGACAACGTATATTGTACGGAAAAAAACGATGATTCACTTGACGATGTTCCGTCATAAAGTAGAGAATATATTTTTCAGAAGAAAGAAAAACGTACACATAAACAATAAATACAAAAGTTATTTAAACGTAAAGAATAATATGAAAGAAGTTGAGAGATAACAAGAAATGAATTGTGAGAAGAATTTTGTGATTTACAATTTTAAGAAGCTTCACAGTAGTAAAAAATTTGTAGTTAAATATGCAGTAGAGTCGTAGCCAAGTTGAAAAGAATAGAGGATATGTACCGTAATAGGTAAAAGAGTAGTTCAATTAATAACATCTCGTATCTGTCAACAAGATACAGTTTTTCTAAGTGTTTTCTAAGTGTCTATTTTATGACAAATGTGAAGAGAGAACTAAATAGTTCGCTGTATGTGTCAATGATGACCAAGAAATTCTTCTTGATGACCTTTGGATACATTCAATTTATAGTGAAATGTAAACAAATTTTGTCTATTTCATAATGCACAGATGTTTGCATGATTTGAATTGTACACGTTGATCAAAAACAATGAACACTCTTTTTCTTTTTGGATTATAAATTTATATAAGAATCAAAAACACCGGAGGGACTAGAACTGATTGTAAAACAAACCAGAAAAAAAAAAGAAATAGAAATAAGAGAAGACGAAGAAGAAGAAGAAGAAGAAGAAGAAGAAAAATTACCGTGTTAATGATCACTGAGATGAGAGGAAAATCATGCCAACTGCTCTTCAATAATACTTACTGTTTTAAAAAGTTTTTTTTTTTTTGATGAAAAAAGAGTGAAAAGCTTTGTCAGACATTTTACATATATCAAGAGGAATTGAAGTTGTGTGTCACCGTCCTAGTGTGAAAAGACTTTTTTTTTTTAATTTCAATCTTTATAAGAAAAAAAATAGAAAAAGTGCTGATTTCTGCTATTTTTATACTTTTCAGTCTCATTATCAACGGTTGATGATATAGACAGTGATCTAGAGGATCTACATGAAGTTGGTGATAAAAAAAGTTGGTGATAAACGAATTAAATTCAACTAAATACTTGCCTATCATTTTCTAATTTATAGTATAACTAACTAATATAAAAAATGTATACTAAAGAATTACTTTTACACTTCTGCTTTTCTTTTTTTATCTCTTTTTATGCTATTAATTCAATGCCTAGATCTTGAAAAAAATAACAGCATGTTCTCTTTTTTTTTTATTTTTATCTTGAAAAACTTTAAGAACATATCATAGCATATCGTCTTAACTAAGTAACTTAAGTAACTTAGATAGTAGTAAAAATAAGTTATGAATGCTCCTTCTATTTGACTCTTTTTATTATCGTTGTTGTTGTTGATGGTCAAAAAGTTTCATTAGTAAATCTAGAAAAAGAAAATAAAACACATAAGAGTTGATAAAAAATAGTTTTCTCAAAATTTTTATGCCATTTTAGAAAAGAGTTAAGTTGATGTTCTTGTAGTAGAATACATATCTATCTTTGTTTTCATTTCTCTTGTTATAATAGTAAGTAATATCAACATCTTTCTTAGTTGTTTTTTTTTGTACCAAAAGTTTATAGGATATAGAATAATAGATGGTAAGTTAGATATCCTTGAATAGTGAAACATATTTTAGAATTTCATAATTCTGTTTTTTCAGTCGGCACTATTTTAAAAATACAGTAAAGAATGTTACCATATGAAAACATCGGGTTGAAAAGAGTGGGAGAAAAATCCATTGTTATTCTATGCTTGAATCAAAATAAAACTGCTTCTTATTCTTCACGCACAAATATTAACGTTAATTATGGGACAGCTTGGAAATTTTTCTCAATTTATTTAACTAAATCCTCTCCTATACTAAAAGATCATCTCTTATTTGATGAACACTATCAATTCTATGTCATGAAAGTCAAAAATAGCATGGCTAGAAATAGCATTATGCTATTGTGTATTGTTCCTCTGAATAACACGTATACGTGAATTCTAATTCAACAATAAATCTAATTTTAATCTAAAACATCTTTGTTGTATCAACAGCGGATAAATAAGTCATTCATCATCTTTCTAAAATTTGACTGACGATCTTCTATTCTATTAGAACATGGAATTAATATATCCTTCTTTTCTTTAACACTTTATCCTTTCTTATAAGTTACATGTTCTTATTTTAGGACGTGCTCAAAAGAATGTTAAACATGGTGCTGAAGATAAAGCTAAAAATTTAATGGAAGCTATGCATGAAAAAATGACTGTAAGAGAACGAACAAAACCAGCTATATTTAAAACAATTAGGTAAATCATTTGGGAGTATAAATTTGTCTATCAGTGACATGAATTTTAATGTTAGACATCTAAAATTTATGTTTTGTATTTTCAAAATATATTTTTCTATCTAATTGAGTGTATAATAAAAATGTTGAACTACTGTTTTAGGGATGTATTTAATGTTGATGAAAAATCTCATGTTGGTCATATGAAAGCGGTAAAACAAAGTGTGCTCGATGGTACATCAAAATGGTCAGCTAAATTAGCTATAACTGGTTCGTTTATATTCTCATATTTATCTTCAATTTATTACTTTTTATTTGATTGTTGTTTATTTTTTTTGTTTTATTTTATTTTTTTTTAGTGATAAGCGCTCAAGGTTTAATAGCCAAAGATAAATCTGGCACTAGTGATCCATATGTAACTGTTCAAGTTGGAAAAGTGAAAAAACGAACGAAAACAGTTTATTCAGAATTAAATCCTACATGGAATGAAAAATTTTTCTTGTATGTTATCATTTTCTTTACGTCTCGTTTCATTATTACAATAAGATTTAAAATTTATTATTATTTTTTTTGTCTTTTTGTTTTTTCTTCTAGTGAATGTCATAATTCTTGTGATCGTATCAAAGTTCGTGTGTGGTATGTATAGAGAAAAAATATTTATCCTTTTTTTTTTTTGTCTTCATAAGTTTTGAGAAGAGAGACTGTGTATAGGGATGAAGACAATGATATTCGTTCAAAACTAAATCGTCGATTAAATCGTGAATCTGACGATTTTTTGGGTCAAACAATCATTGAAGTTAGGACATTGTCGGGAGAAATGGACGTTTGGTATAATTTAGGTACAAAATTCAAGTAGATTGCCTGCCAGATTGTTGTACACACTAGACATCAACAGAAAAATTTGATACATCTTTTTTTTCTATTTATCGAATTGAGATCATTAGACATATAAATAATAATAACGCATTTAAGAAAAATAAAAATGAAATTAGAACGAGAATCATCAGTATAGCTTTTGAAAAATCTCTCAAAAATTATTATACAGAGTTGTCAGATATTCTGCTTACATATTTGTCTTACTACAGGACAAACTTGTTGATAATTTATCAAGACATTTTACAATCATAGTAAATGAGTCTAGTATGTGTGTCTTTACTTTGCAACTTCAGTTAGTTTACTTACAAGTAGTATGAAAAGAATGATTTACTTTTGTCGGATGTTTTTTTCTTCATGAACTTGAAAGATGAAGGAGTTTTTATTTATAATAAAAAGAGATATTTCAAGAAATCAGAGCTAAAAATATTCTACTTTTAAATATATAAAATTTCACTTCTTTTTTTTTTCTATCTGGTAACTAACTTTACTTTAACATTTTAAACATATCCTTGAGATCGAATTATGATTATAAACAGATTTTTTTTTAATAAAAAAATTTGTTTCTGTTGATGTCTAGATGGAAGTATGTGAATAGAATTAGATATATATCTTTTACTTATTTATTAGTATTATTATTTTGCATATGCTCAGTAAATAAATTTAATTTTCTTTTTTTCACCCTTTTATTTTGATTATTATTATTATTATTTTAAATAATTTGTTCTGTTCGTATATGTGTATGTGTACAGTCGTGTTTAAATGTGTTTAGGGATGAAGATGATGATATTCGTGCTAAAGTAATGCAAAAATTAACGAGAGAATCAGATGATTTTTTGGGTCAAACAATAATTGAAGTTCGAACATTATCAGGAGAAATGGATGTCTGGTATAATTTAGGTAGTTTTTTTTGTTTTATTTTATTATTCTTTGTTATTTTTTTTTATGTACCGCTTTTGCTTATACTTTCCCATTTACAGTTGTTTTGATGACATAAGACTATTTTTAGACAGATTTTTTCTTCATTTTGTGTTTTTTTGTTTTCTTTCAAGAAAAACGTACCGATAAATCGGCTGTTAGTGGCGCTATTCGTTTACATATTAGTGTAGAAATAAAGGGTGAAGAAAAAGTTGCTCCATATCATGCACAATATACATGTTTACATGAAGTATGTAATGATTGAAAGAAAGATAATTATATTCTTTATATAATTCTATTATTTTTTTTTTAGAATTTATTTTATACGTTATGCGAGACAAACAATGGCCAACCAATTATACCAGAAGCAAAAGGAGTATGTATAACTGTGATATAAATCAATTTTTTTTTTTTTTTGTTTTTTAATAAGATAAAACTTGATTAGATTTGTATTTACAGACGTTTTTTTAGTCTATCTGATACATTTACCATCTGTCTAGATTTGTTTGATAAATGATCTTGATAAATTCGATCATATATTGATCACAAGTTGGAAAATCAATCAGTTCGTTTCATAGTAGGCGTATTGTATGAAAAAATGAAGAAGGAAAGAACAATGTCTTGTCTTACGGCGACCATGACCATTGTTGAGTATCAACAAATATTAGTTTCAATAGTCTAATAACTTTCCAATATGATCACTCATATCGTTACTATTATCCATCTTTTTGAAAGAAGGTGTGTGACTATTTTTTGAACGAAAAGCATTAAGAGACATGCGGTCTTTGTCAATCGAAAGAGGAGACTTGGAGACGTCTTTTTACTAGCAAAATAAATCTAAAAATGCTTTTCATAAGTAAAATTTTTAGAAGATCTTTAAATGAACCAATTCCATTCTACAGAAATTGAAATGGTGTTGGAAAAACGTGTTTATGGATCTCTTACAAACAGACTATGGAATGATTTATATATTGTACATTCTGAAGTTTTGAACTCGTTCTGTTGCCTTTTTGAGCTAATTGCGGAGTTTTGAACATTAGATGAAAACTCATAACTCTCGGATTCTAAAGGAATTCAATACCACCACCCAAATAATTGAAAGCCAACATCTCGCTTGACTCCCATTTTGAAGACCACGCTTCGGGCGATCTACTTGCGTAGGAAAAACACGCTGTTATCACTTTAGTTTTTGGAGAGCTAAACTGTTTTTTAAAAGATCATCTAAAAACTTTACTTACGAACAACATTTTCAAATTTGTTTTACTAGTAAATAGATGACTCCAGGTCTCCTCTTTCGATTGACAAAGATCGTTTATCTCTAGTACTTTTCGTTCAAAAGCTATTCAAAAAATAATCACACATATTCTGTCAAAAAATGAATAATAGTAACAAGAACTACTGGATTAAAAGAAGCTGGTTGATGGATTTTAAGAGTTTCAAAGTTTAATGTTGATTAAACTTTGAAACTCATGAAAAGGCAAAGCATGCCCTTTCCTTTGGCAAATTATTCTTAGCGCAAGAAGATCTTATAGAAAAACCTGAGATATTTCTACTGTCTGATTTCAAAGATTGGTTTCCACCCGCTGCAAAGCATTTTTCGATCTATAAAAATTGTAATTCAAAAAATTATGATCAAAATGACACGTCTATCATTTATTCGTTCATAAAAAAATGTTTTCTTCCTCTTCTGTTTAGTTCGGTTTTCTCTAAGTTCTACTTGCGTTAGAGATAATTTACTAGAGGAAAGAGTATGATTTGACCAAAAAGAATTATTCATTTGATCCATTTGTCCTCGTTTCAGTATTCATATACAACATGCCTATTGTTCAAAATCATCGTGCTTTATTGAAATGATAAATAGAACTGTTATTCTAATTATTTTTTGTCTTTTTTTCTACTTTTTTTAGGATGAAGCATGGAAAGTATATTTTGATGATCCGTCACAAGAAATTGTTGTTGAATTTGCGATACGTTACGGTGTTGAATCAATCTATCAAGCAATGACTCATTTTGCCTGTCTTTCAATAAAATATATGTGTCCCGGTGTTCCAGCAGTAATGTCAACACTTCTAGCAAATATAAACGCTTATTATGCACATACAACAGCAACAACAGCTGTGTCAGCTGCTGATAGATTTGCCGCATCTAATTTTGGGGTAAAAATTTGAAAAAATATCTTTTCAATAGAGAAAGATGATCTTTTTCTTCTATTTTAGAAAGATAAATTTATTAAATTACTTGATCAATTACATAATTCTATTCGAATTGATTTATCTATGTTTAGAGTATGTATCTTAAATTTTTCTTATTAAATAAAAATTATTCTTTTCATTTTGCTCTTTTTTCTACAGAATAATTTTCCATCGTCGAGTCCTGATCGAATGCAAGATTTAAAATCCACTGTAGATCTATTGACAAGTATTACATTTTTCAGAATGAAAGTAAGATATTTTGTTTCTATATGCATATTTATTGTCACTTTTTCCCCTTAAAAAACAGTACTACCTCATTTCTAGTATATAAGAGATATCTTTTCTCAGTACAACGAGGTAAGAGAGCGGCGACAAACAGCATGGAATAAATCGATCAGTTTTTGTGCACGATAACGCATATATATATATATTTTGTTTTGGGGCGCGCTTAAAAATTATTTTGCAAATTTAACTCTGATAATGAATTTTAGTTTAGTATAGTGAAAAGAGTTCTGTCTTCAAACCGATTCTATTTATCGTAAGCACAACGATATATTATGTGAGAAAAAAGGTTCTTCAAGAGCTTATTCTACTCTTAGAATTTCGATTATGAGTTAGAAAAGAAAAACGACAGAACCACGCATGCTCCTGCATGAACTTTTATCGAAAATAATTTGAAGAGATCGATCGTGTGACATTCGCTCTATTGCATGATTCGGTTTTTGTTTAAATAAGAATGAGAACATTAGACGTAATTAGACCTGTTACATAAACCACTCACAGGAGGTGGTTTACCCACTCATTTTTTTTAATGAATGTGAGTGATTTATACTGTTGATGCAACAGACCTAATCTGGACAGGCGATTTTCGGAGATGGTTCTATGACATAAAATGTAGAGAATCAAATTCAAAAATTACTCATCATTTTATCTAAAAATACTTCGTTTAAGAGATAAATCGTTATTACTATGTATGCATCAGTTACAGTTTTTTACCAGTTAACTGTACTTGTAAAACTGCTGATAACTATAACTGTCATAACTGTAAAACTGTAGAACCGTAATTGCTCATAACTGTCTAAATAAACTAAATTTGCATACATTTTAAGAATAGAGACATTCTTAAGATGTATGCAAATCGTACAAGACTAATCACTCTAGAATATTTGTCTACAGCTATGAGCAGTTACAGTTATCAGTAGTTTTACAAGTACAGTTAACTGTTAAAAAACTGTAACTAGTGGATACCTAGTTATTACTATTTTCTTTAATTGTCTCGTTGCCATTTTTATCACTTTTCTGAAGAATTCTCTATATTTCATTTATATGGCAAAGTTTTGAAGTGTGAATACTGGAATCACTCCCATTTACATTCAAAAGAATGGGAGTGGTGGAACCACTCATATTTAAAGAAGCGAAAGTAGAATCACTCCCACTTAGATGAGTGGAACTGCTGAAGTACGAATAGATCTAGGCATAATCTAGTAGTATAGAAAATTCGCTAACTTTATTAGATATATTAATGGCATAAGATAAAATGCAACTGTTATTTATCGTAGGATGAAAAAGAGAAATACATACAGGATCATATGAATGGTACCTATTAAAAAATATGTACTCTCTCTCTCTCTCTCTTTCTTCCATTTTTCTTACCTGTAAACAACAACAAGCAGTATTGCATGAATGGTTGTGTTATTGATAAATAAAAAATAATTATACATATATCAATATTGTACTCATATTTTCAGGTACAAGAATTATCCAGTCCACCACGTGCAAGTGGTGTAGTAAAAGATTGTGTTAAAAATTGTATTCGTCATACATATCATTTTTTATTTGATAATTGTGATGAAGTTTATCGTCGAGATTTTGAAAATACGACTGGTGTTGAAAATGTAAATACAACAGAGACAACGAACACTAACACTGATCATCCAGTTCAACAAACAAATCCACCATCAGCTGATTCTGAAACAGCAGGACCGAGTCTCAAATCATTACTATTTTGGCAAAAATTAATGTGTTTATTAAATTGTGTTATCGTCGAAGATTGTAAACTTTATAGTTTGGTGTTAAATCAGTATGTATTTTCTTTTTCTAAAAGATCTAATTATCAGAACTGACAGAGGTAATCGTAACGTATAGTATCGGACTCTACTGCGGTACGAGACAACACGATTTTTTATACATTCGGTACGGTATTGTACAATTCTATGTAGAGTCTGACGCAATATTATAAAAACGATTTGTTTTTGAGTTTTTTTTCTCTCGTCCATAATCCCTGAAATAAATCTGAAAAAAAGATTCAAATAGCTGAAAGAATTTCTAATCTGGTACGGTGCATACAAAAATTTCATTAAAATTTCGGAAAAACTCAGAATCCTCGAAAAATTTTGAATTCCAGAATTTGCTCGGACACTTTTTGTAATCAATTTCACTAGTAGAACAGACATTTTTCCACAAAATGAGACGTCTCTGAGCTTTCCACAACACTTTTTCATCAATCTGCATTCAATTTATGAAAGATTATACACTACAACCTTAATCATGATTGACGATTTTCTGATGTGACCGCATTCTTTTTTAATCCTGATTAAATAAACATTGTGAGAACGCTAATCATGACTAAAGACAAATCGTGACTAAGAAGAGCAAATCAATACGGAAAGTGCTTCAAAACTGGCTCATTTTTCTGTGAACTAAATGAACGATGAACAAAAACACTGTCACTTTACTGTACATTATAGAAAAAAGGAAAAACAGAAAAGAATATGTGTCAGGCTGCAATATGTCGCTATTGTTTCTTTCGTTAATGAATTGTTTAACAAAAAACGATGGATCTGTTTGGCAACGCTAGAGAAACAGAGAACTTTTTGAAATCGAAGTTCAAAAATTGGACAATTTCTGTATGAATAAACAAGTAGTTTATAATATTTGTTGACAATTGTCGATATGAATACGGCAAAGTAAGACACAAAACTGCGTCCAGAAACATCAGCACTTAAACGATTGGCTATTGTATTATACACAGTGGCATCAATCGCCGAGTGTGATACAATCGCTAATTTGTTTGGGATATCAAAGCGTAGCGTAATCAGAGTATATTTAATTGCGGTTAACTAATCACGGTTCGCTTAATTGTGATTAAAACTGTAGTGTAACCGTAGTGTTACAGACATTTTTTGTTGATTTTGCTTGTTTCATAAATTGAATGCAAATTGATGAAAAAATGTCGTGGAGAGCTCAGAGACGTCTCATGTTGTCGAAAAATGTCTGTTCTACTAATGAAATTATTTATAAAAAGTATCCAATTGAATTTTGAAATTCAACATTTTCTAGAATTTTGGTTTTCTAGACATCCTTATTTCAGAAAATTTTTGTATGTATCGTACCAGATTAGAAATTCTTTCAGCTATTTGAATCATTTTTTAGATTTGTTTTAGCGATTATGGACGAGGAGGAAAAGAATCAAAAACAAATCGTTTCTATAATATTGCACTGGACTGTATAATAAAAGACGGAATTGGCATAGAATAAAGAAAAAGAGAAAGAAAAAAATAATCAGATGAGCACATCATCAGAACAGTTAAACAGATCCATAGCTGATTTTCTTTTACTTTGTATGTGTTTTGCCCTATTCTTTCAATTTTGTATTTTAACAAAATTACCCAATGAAGTACCGATAATAAAAGAACAAAATAAGATCTGCATTCTGTTGACAGTCGAACATTTTTCGTTAACGATACAGTACGGTATGGAACTGGCCGACATTTTAGATTTTTTCATCTAATATCGATACGACAAACTCATTCATCTCGAAAAAAACTGACCTAGTCTTTTGTTTGAAAATTTTTATGAATGATGGATTGTTATTCTTTAGATTTCCATCTGAACTCAATGTTGGCCAGAATAGTGCTGATACACTATGGAAATTATTATCTGCTGATTTAAAAGAACATTTAGAAGGTACATTGTCTTTATCTTTTACATAGTCTATTTTATCCATTGTACGAATTTTCTTTTATTGTTTTAGAACATGCCAAGATTCCACCTGAAAAACGTGAAGTGAAAAGTACAGCGTATATGACATTTCATTTTAAAGTGAAAGGTTTTTATAATCAATCAGTGAAAGCTGTTGTACCTGAATCTAAAAATCAAACACCAGATTATCCGAAGTAAGTATGTCGTAATTATGAATAGTTTTATTAGTTAATAAGACTATATTTATAATTCTACATAAAATATAATCAAGCCGGTAAAGACCAGTATAGTAGCGAAGCGTATATAGGGGTGTGATATCATACTGGTGAATAATTTCTACTCGAACCAGGATTTCTGATTGTTCTTAGAGATGGGAGGGGTTAAAAATTTTGCTTCGCAGAAAGTGGCTAACGAGAAAAAGTTGTCGAAACTTTTTTGGCAGAAGTTACTGGTGGACAAACGTCAAAGATTTTGTCGGAAAGTTCATAAATGTTTTTAAGGAGAGATCAACAGCTCTCTGCCCCTCCCTGATCGAGAACCCTGACTCGAATAATATGGACCACGAAAGATCCTTATCTAGAGACTCTTCGTACTATGGGTGCATCTTCAAAAGTTGAGTAGAATTGTTTTCTCTGAAAAAATAGAATGTTTTTTACGATTTTCTGCATTCTTTAATTATTAGACATCCTGAATAGGAGCATCTCACAACTGAATCGCGTTACCATTTTTACTCTTTTTGTTTATGTTACAATATTTGAAAGGAACATTGTAGAAATTTGAGAGACGTCTTGTTTTGTAGTTGGAAGTGTGCTTTTCAAAATTCACCCTGAGATCAATTCAGTTCCCTCGATTGGGTTTGCGCCATAACCGAAATACCAACATCCACGAAAAAAATTTTTCAGCTTACTGCATTTTAATTCTAGCACAAATACGATTGAGGGAACCGAGTTGATCTCAGGGTAAATTTTGGAAAGCATACTTTCAGCTACAGAAGAAGACGTCTCTCAAATTTCTCCAATATTTTCCAAAAAAAAGAGTACAAATGGTAACGTGCACTCGGTAGCAGTTACGCGATTCAGTCGTTCAGTTGTTGATGTATCTACTTATAAAGTAATTACTAACTAATGTAACGACAACTGTGACAATTCTAGTCCTGAAAATCAGTTAATTAGATGAAACCTGTCTGCCATGTTTGTTCAAGTATGTGATATATTAATGAATGGAAACCTTATCCTGACATTTTAAACATTTTTAATAAACTAAACTCTTATAAATGTTTATTTTTTCTATGGCATACCATCTGCTTGTTTTTTAGTATGTAAGTGCATATTTTGTTATATATTTTTAGATGGTTTGAGCCATTTGTGATGCAATGGTTAAATGAAAACGATGATGTATCGATGGAATATTTACACAATGCATTGGAAAAAGACAGACAGACTGGGGTATGTATAGTGTCGATAAAAATTTGCGTATGATTCACTCAAAAATTGACTAAATGATAGGGATGCCCACTTCTAAATCCGTAATTTTTAACCCTTTTTTCTTAATCACATTGCGTAAAAATTATGATATAGTGCAAATTTTTGATAATTGAGTTTTGTAGAGCAAACATTTTTCTCCCAAAAAAAGTGAGACGTTTTCCAACTGTGAGCAATGCTTTCTCAAATAGTATCTTGCCATTGTAGTCTCGATCGGAGTTAAAACTGTGAAACTTGTCGGAAATAATATGCATTATCGCGACTTCATTTTTATGTACATCCATGTACAAGAAGAGTGGTAGGCTGCATTTTGTATTATTATGAACCTCCTCTTCTTCATTTCGTCGCATATGTAGTTTCACGAAGTAGAAACAGATCAATGATAACAGAAAAGATAGTATCACTTTATTTTCTACATTGTTGACAAAGGTGAAAGCACAGGTTCAATTGTATCCAAATTTCCACTAGGGATAAAACATTGAAAATGTATTTTTGTACAAACTTGACTGAATACGGTTTTCCAGGGATTTAGTGCATAACCAGAAGATATTACGATCTTTGATTTTATCCTATCCGAAATAATGGTATCATGAGACATATTACTTTTTTTCACAACATTTGTGACAATATTCATATATCGATGAAAAATTCTTGATAAATTGTGAAAAATGTTTCATTGTGAAGAGAAGACTTTGCTCTATTAATAAAATACATTGAGTTTATTTAGTCTTTGGAGGCAAAACTTTGAAAATTCATAGTTGTTTTAGAAAAGATTTTCGAGTGCTGGGAGTCGTCTTCTTTTGTAGTTCAAACTTTCCTTGACAATAATCAACTTGAAATTGCATACTTTTTTCTATGAAAAAGAGGAGCGATCATCCCTAAAATATCATAAACACTGGTCTATCAGAGCGTCATATGAGAAGGAAAAACAATTCTCTATCGGCGTTCCTATTTACATAATATAGTATCAAATGAAGAAAGACAAATAAAAAGATAGTGAACTTCTACAACTTCTAACTATAAATTTAAAGTTGTCTATTGTTGTAGAGATATTTCACTCGAACAACATTTTATTTAAATTTTTTTGCTTTAATTTTTTTCCAGTTTCAACAAACATCTGAACATAATCTATTTTCATCTTCTGTTATCGATGTTGATACACAATTAAATCAATGTCATGGACTTATAAAACAATTAGATTTAAATGATCCTATTGTTATTAATAAATATATGCAACGTTTTTCTGTAACAATTAGTCAAGTATTATTGGGCTATGCAAATACCATTCGTCGAACATTTGAACATTATGCTGGACAAGATCGTGTATGTTCAATATTATTGAATAATATTCAACAATTAAGATTAAAATTAGAAAAATTATATGAACTTATGGGTGGAAATAATGTATGTCTCTAAAATTAACAAAATGTATATTATAAAGAAAACAAATTAATTTTTTTTTTTTTTATATTTATTTTTTCTAGTTAGATGAAGAATCTCGACTAATGCTAAATGAATTACAGAGACAATTGAGTGATGTTTTAGATGAATTAAGTGCAATGTTTGTTAAAAGTATTGAGCCAACAATTCGACAATGTATTGAAGAAGTGTATAAACAATTACAAAATATTAAAGGATCAAATATGGGTGGTGGTGGACAAAAAGGACAAGAGGCAATACTTGTTACTAAATCCTTGTTCGATTATTTAGATCAAAGGTAAATTATATAATTGTCAGCATTTTATAATTCTTTTTTACTTTTAATATTATTAATTTTATTAGATTGACTGTATTTGCTAATCAATGTGAAAAAACTGTATTAAAACGTTTATTAAAAGAATTATGGAAAGCTGTGATCATTGATTTAGAAAAAGTTATTGTTTTACCACCATTTACAGATTCAAAACATTTATTAACAATACCAAGTGCTAAAATTGAAGATGCTTATCGACTTTTATCCGGGGTACGGTGTTCTCTCTCTCTATCATGTTTCTAACAGTGCTCGAATCAGGTCAGACAACCTGCCTGTCTGCCTGGGCCTGCCTGTTACAGACAGAGCAGGCTACAAATTGTCGGCCTGCACCAGGCTAAGGTAGACCAGACCTAGACTGAAATAGGTTCAGGCAGACCTTTGAAAAAGCCACTCGACCTGGCCTATGAAATTTGCGTATTTTTATTCAAAGTTTAGCATTTCGGCTGTAGATCCCTTGGAATTTTGGAAAGAAAATCAATTGAAATTCCCAAATTTATCGTTATTAGCAAGGCTACTTTTCTCAATTTCGATAACATTTCCCGAAATGTTGAACGACAGTTTAGGGCTACTGGATTTGTTATTAATGAACGTCGTGCATCACTAAATCGTGACACGGTTGAGGATATCTTGTTAGTTAGATCAGTTCAGAAAATACTTGAACAAAAACCAAATTTTGTTTCCATCTTATGTTACTATTATTTGTACATTTTGTTTATTGAAAAAATGATCAGGCTTCTACAGGCCAGACCAACCTAGGCTGAAAGCAATGGCAGGCAAACAAGGCCCAATAAGCATATCGACAGACCCAGGCAGATTAGAACTAAACCTAAAGACTAAACATTAGACGCCTGATGCACGCAGACCAGACCTCAAAATTGTCGGCTTGTTTCGAGCTCTAGTATCTAATTTCATTTCATTGTTGATTTATTTTATTTTAAAGGAACTTGGCCGTGATAATGATCGTTCATTAACTCAAAAACAATGTCAAGTACTCGATCGTGGTTTAGAAGATTTAAAAGAATTTTTTCATGCAAGTGGTCAAGGTTTAAAAAGAAATTATTTAGAAAAAACACAAGAATTACAATCATTAAAATATGCCTTGTCATTGTATACACAAACAACCGATAGTCTCATTAAAACATTTGTTAAAACCGAAAAAGAACAAGGTAAATGAAAATAGTCAATTGAAAAAATCTGAAATTCTGTACTATAATGTGTTTGTTTTTCTATTTTAGATCGTCCAGCTCAAGAAGAGCCATTTGGAGAAGTATCCATTCAAGTTGATTTATTTACACATCCTGGCTCCGGTGAACATAAAGTGACTGTTAAAGGTACACATATATTCTAAGTGAACATTATTTATTTATTCTTTTTACTATATTCATTAAAATTTTTATTTTTCTAGTCGTGGCTGCTAATGGTTTAAAATGGCGTACATCGGGAATATTTCGTCCATATGTTGAATTAACAATGTGTGGACCTCATTTGAGTGATAAACGACGAAAACATTCAACGAAATCAAAAAATAATACTTGGATACCGAAATATAATGAAACATTTCATTTGTAAGTATAAAATTTCTTTTTTAATTATAAATGTTTAAATGAATTGTATTGTTAATACAACTATGTGAAATGACAATAGTTCAACCGATTATGGCCCTTATCAAGTCAATACAAATAACTGTAACACAAAATGAAAACTTTAAAAATTGAAATAAAGAAAAGAAAATACTCACATATTGGCTACATCATTGTCAAGTATAAACTGAGTAGAGAAACATAATTCTTAATAACATTAAGGGAATCCACTCCCATCAGTTTCGGCTTTCCGTAGAAATGCTGCGAAATAAAAACTAAAACTCACTAAGGCTTCATATTTTCAGAACTGATTGGAAACTCAATGGAGCACTTTTTCGTTTTTGTTTCAAGTTTTTAACTATGGTAGTTCACGAGTTTTTTAGAAAACTCGCATTTTCATTGGACTACATCACAATCTGACCGAGTTATAGGATTTCTAAAATTTAAAATTTCGAAATCTGATTTTTAAATTTAAGAAATCCTATAACTTGGTAAAGAAAGGTCTAAAATAAAATTCCAAAATTATACTTCTGCTCTATGATCTTGAGTACCTCTGGTAAAATGTTTAAATCGATCGGATGAAATTTAAGGGGGATCATAATGTGGTCCAATGGAAAAATGGTGAACGGCAATAGTTAAAAATTTGAAACAAAAACGAAAAAGTACTCCATTGAGTTTCCAGTCAGTTTTGAAAATATGAAGTCTTAATGAGTTTTAGTTTTTATTTCACAGCATTTCTACGGAAAGCCCAAAAATGAGGAGAGGGATACGCTTAACCAAGATCTACTTCACTCTTTGATAAACGCCCACTATCTACGCCTCCAGAACAGACATACAATGGAACTGATCGATCTGTTTCATTTAACAAAGGACTAATAGTCCTTATAAGAGGCTAACGCGACTCTTTCAACAAACGTCTATATTTGTGTTTTTTAGGCAAAAGAACTCGAAAATCTTCAGGTCTAAATTTATATCTTCTAATAGCAGATTTTATTTCATATTTATCCCAAACTTCACAACATATGTGTATTTTTAAGTTTTCATTTTCTGTTACAGTTATTTATATTGGCTTGATGATGACTATACGGCGGCCATTCCGCGAAACATGATCGCGTTACCGTTTAGGGAACTTCAAAACGTTATAACTTTTTAAAGAAAAGTCGTCGAGAGTTGTGCAATATCCCATTAAAAAGAAGATTCAAAGTTCTTTAAAACTGAATTTAAGCAAACTCTAGAAAATGTTTTATTCAGATGGTATAGCAAGATAACTGGAAGGTACTATTTTGAAAAAATCAAGTTGAAGAGTCTTTCTTTTCTCTGTGGTATCGTCCGAACGAAAAATTAGCAGAACTTTGCTTACATCCAGTTTTGAAGAACTACGAATCTTCGTTTTAATGAGATGTTGCGCAACTCTCCATGATTTTTCCTTAAATAGTTATAACGTTTTGAAGTATCCTAAAAATGGCAACGTAATTTTCGGTAGTAGAGTTACGCGGTATAACCGTATAGTCAATACAAATAACTGTAACAAAAAATGAAAACTTAAAAAATACACATGGCCGTATAATAAGTTGAAAATCTTATCATTCATATATCTGTACAATTAATAATACATTTTATCTTAATTTTGCTGTCCTTCATCTCAAAAACAAAAAATATTTGATTTTAAATGAAATTAATATTATTTAATAAACTATTTTAGTATGCTTGGTAATGAAGAAGAACCCGATTGTTATGAATTAAATGTATGTGTTAAAGATTATTGTTTTGCTCGAGAAGATCGTTTAATTGGTATGAATGTTATTAAATTGTCAACTGTTGTTGAACAAGGTTCATGGTCATCATGGGTACCATTAGGTTCTCGTGTGAATTTTGATGATACCGGTTTAACAATATTAAGAATATTATCACATCGAACAAATGATGAATTAGCTCGAGAATTTGTACAATTAAAATCAGCCAGACGACATAAAGAAGAAGTGTAGCAATGTCAAGTATTCGTTTTTTAAAATAAAAAATAAATTAATACGTTCTTCCATTTATTGTTAAGATCTTTTTTCTAATTGTATTCACTTTTTTTTTTTCTTTTTTTTTGTATATTTTAACAACAGTGTTTCATAATAATAATAATAATAATAATAATGATGATGATTGATTGATTCATTTTTACCTTAATTTTGTTTTGTTGTGTTTGTTTTTTTCTTCTGTTTTTTACGAATTGTTTTTATTTAAATATATATATTTTTTTATAGTTGCAAGAATTTTGAAGAACTAAAAAGCTACTATAAATGAATAAATAGCTAAATTAAAGTATATTTGATCAAAAAAATATTTGTTCGATCATTCTACAGAGAGTACAAACATCAAAAGGATGCTTCATACCAATGTCAAGATTTTATTAAATACTGAAACAATAAGAATTGAATTTATTTTTGATAAAAAAATTCTTACCAATGAACAAGAAAGAAAGATTAAAAGTAAAGAAACTTTTGCTTACATATGAGACACTGTTATTTAGTAGAAGAAAAATAAAAAGAAGAATAAAAACAGAGATAAATAGTGAATGACATTATTCATCGAGATACATAAGTCTAAATTCGAAATATTTGAATCGTATTTTATATACATTGATGTTGGTTATGTATACTATTCAGAGAAGTCGATTATTCCATTTCTGAGAAATGAAGGATATGAAAACCTTTGTGAATGAGGGATTCGATAAATAGGACTAATAATACGTGTCTCTATCGATAGTGTATCGATGAATGATTATTATGAGAAAATGACAAGTATTTTCAATTATGGAAGATAGTTTTTTAGGTTTATTAGAAAAAATATTGTCATATAGAGTAGTCTTCGAAATAGGAGATATTTCGCATTCAAAAAACCAATGAGAAAAGTCTTCTACCATTTTCTACTGAAAAATGGAGTCTAATTTTGTTCATCATAATTCGTCAAATTTTGTTTTCATTGTGCAATTACACAGTAGTAACTTTATTTTTATTCTAGATCGCTTTCTTTCACTCTCTCTCTCTCTCGCCGTTATGCTTTTTAAAAAAAAGATTAAAGTTACATATATTCTGATAGTGTCAATGAATTAGTACATCATCGTTTTACCATTAGATGGAAACGAGTAATTTCATAATTATTTGAAATATCATATTTTCATCATGAATAAACGATATTTTCTTATGTTGTATTTAATTATGTTAAAACATCAACATGGAAAAACATGTTTATTGAAGATTTTTTAATAACGGTATGATATTGTTGTTTTTAATGGAGAATTATAGTGAAAAATTTGTTGATTCTTAAAAATATGTTGCCATTACAAATGAACGTCAATGTTAAACATGATATTCTATTTGAAACTTTTAAATGAAAATAATTAATAAAATATTCGATTGAATTTTATTTTGAGAAATAAAATATATATGTCATTCCGTTAGAACTAATTAGATTGACCTGGATATTTCAGATGATACCATTATTTATTTTGTATTATACATACAATAAAGACAACCACATAGACTCACTTTTTGTTTCAAGATTTTCTAAGAATTTAAATGTGGAGAATCAACAAAATGTTTTTTTTTCAAACTTTTTCTCGTTTTTATGTTAAATCATAAGCAGATTAACTTAAATTCAAGATTTTCTGATAGTTCTAGGTCAGTCTAATTAGCTTTAACGAAATTATGATTTGATATTAGATGAAAATAGTTCAAAATGGATTTATTTCATTATTTTAGAAATTTTCATTAAGTTTTTTTGAATTTATTCGGAGAAACGAATATTGACACGAGATTTAATATGGCCGATTACCTATGTTTTATCTAATCTCCATGCTACTAAAAGCCATTGGATATCAATCACAGAGGCCTGAATTTTTTTGGTGGGGGTAGGCTATGGGGATACACCCCCTCGAAAATAAAAGTTTTTCGTTTTCTCCCAGCGAAATTAAAAAGTTTTTTTTATAAATTTCAGTTTAATTTTTGACCACAGAACATGATATATGTAGGTTTGTAGAGGAAGACTTCTTCTATCTAGTGGTGTATATATTATCAAATTTTGTTGCGTACCGTGAGTGAAAATTAAAGATAATCTCTCTTTTTTTTAGACTTTTTTTAGATATATTTTTTATTTTTAAGTTAAATATTGCACATTATAGGGTAAAGTGTCCGCTACAAAATAAGATCACTCCTAACTCTCTAAGGCATTCCGTTGAGGAGATACGAATTCTTTTAAAGTTTATTACTTTGCTATGAAAAAACCCTAGTTTTTTACTTTCGAAATTTTTTTCTCTTTCATTCAGTACTTGATAAACTTTTGAAACAGTCAGTCTGGTAGAGTAAAGATTTCTCTACAAAATAGATGTATCCTAGCTCTTCATCATGCTTTCTGATAGAGTTATTATCATTTTGGACGTTATATCCAAATGTGACTTTTTCAAAGACTTCCAGCAAAATGATTGGCCACTGGAAATTCTAATTCATCATTGCTTATTTTCCAAAACTCGTCCACATGTGTGCTGACTAGCCAAAATTTTTTTAAACATCTATTCACAGAGAGAAAAGCGTTCTCTTCAAAATGAGACGTTGCTGAGCTCTGTACAGTATCCCTATCAAAAGTCATAAGCATTTTTCTAAGAGCACCTAAAATTCTGCTTTTCTTTCATTCCTTTACATCGATTTTTGTCTAGTAGTATTCCAAGATTTCTTTACTATTTTAAGTGCTACAAATCTCAGGTTGGTCTTGAAATGTAGCCAACACTTTTTTCTAGGCATAACAGAACCCGATTTTCGATCTTCGCTTTTGTCTCTGAGGAAAATAAAAGGTTTCAGAGAGATGAAGAAAAAGCTCGTTAATTTTTCATTATCGGACTCAAAATGGACTTGGGCTCTCTCTGCTTGCTTCATGACTTGGGCTCGATACCTCTCCTCTCTCCGAACTCGCCCAGTCCCGTCTCTAACTAGCATTCTTCAAAAGTTAATCAAAAATCAGGCAACGTTCTTTGAAATGGATAGCAATTATTATATTTTAGTCACTCGTTGATAATTATCTTTGTACATTTGTAGCGAATTATTCTGTCTCACAATATTGAACACCAGAAAAAACAATGTTGATTATTTACAAAAATTTATCAGTACCAGTTTATCATAGAGGACGGAATATTTGTGATTTTTTCTATTTTTCAGATACTGAAATGAACTTCGAATAATTCCTTCCAGGGTTAAGATATGAAAAGTTTTTTGCTCTATAAAATCTTCTCTACCCAAATCAATATGTTCTTGTATTATTTAAATAACAGTGCAAAGTGAGGATAGGTAAAAAGCATAACTGCAACAGAAAGAACAAGTTGTACTAGTTGTCTAGACTCAGATAAAGATCAAGATAGTTTTTCTAACCGACTAAACTCATTTATTTCAAAAATAAAATAAAAACATTCTGTTCTATGCGATCGTTCTTTAGTTCATCAAAGATTCATTTAGTTGTGGTAAAGATGAAAATTAAATTATTAGAGTCAATAGTTGAAATAAACAAAAAATTTGAGAGAAGCAATCATAGTTGCCGAAATATAGTTTAGTTGTATATGGCTGAGAGAAGAGACCGAAACGTAAAGTATTTTGTCTAATAAAGAATAAATAGATATTTTTATTCGGCAGCTATGACTGCTTCTCTGAAAAAGTGATGATGAAAAATTAAAATTTATGATAAATTGTCATAGTGAATATTCAGTAGTTAATCAACTATTGAAGCATATGAAAGTGAGACGACGAGGGTACATGTTTAACTCTGATTTTGTCGTGTAATTTTTATCAACATTTATCGAATTTCGATGTTTTATTTTTTTATATCTATCCCAGATTTGGATTCTATGCACACCATCTAGCAGTCTATACTGAGGACAGTTTTGTGCTTTAAAAGGTAGGATCATCGATGTGAATAGGATCTGTCAGATAATGAGTTAGTTTTATCTGTTTGATGTGATGCATGATGTGTACTAATAAGATTCTCTATCACGTCACGGAACTTCTTTATTATTCGTCTAAGGAGGGAACGTTTCCAATTGATAAATCGCTTTCGGACCAAAACCTAGTGGACTATAGGTAGTCGACCATGCTGATCCTGAATATCAGCATGAGACGTGCTGCTAGGCCTCCAGAGACTGGTTTTCTAGGAAACCAGTTTTCCAGAAACTCCAGAAAATCTCCGAAACTTTTCTTAATAAGTCGTGTTTGTAGCGCGCGAAATTCTGATTAAAATGAGACATCTCCCAGCTCTACACGACCTTCTTTGCAAAGTTATAGAATTTACAAGAAGAGTCCTAAATTCCTTTTTCCTTTTTCTTTCTGTAGCTCTGAGCTGACAATGAACATTTAGGACTTTTCTTGTAGATTCCATAACTTTGCAAAGAAAGATCGTGTAGAGCTATAGGATGTCTCATTTTAATCAGAATTTCGCGCGCCACAAATATGACTTATTAAGAAAAGTTTCGGAGATTTTCTGGAGTTTCTGGATAATTGGTTTTCTGAAAAACCAGTCTTCGGAAGTCTGATAGCACGTCTCATGTTGGTATTTGGGATCAGCATGGTCGACTACCTATAGTCCACTAGGTTTCGGTCCGAAAGCGATTTATCAGTTGGGAACGTTCACTCGTAAGTCTAGAAAAGAGCGTTGCTATCTACTTTCACCATCGTTAACTCCTTAGAGGTAGTTTTTCATAATCTTTCAAACGTGTAGTTTACAGAGTAGATTTTCTCTTAAAAATATGAAGTCACGCAACTCTTTCGAACTTTGTGTTGACTTTAAGATGTTGAAACAAACACATGGTATTTTCATTCAAGAGCGCTTTTTTTGTTTAAGACTCCTTGTGTTGCAATAATGAGATTATGAGTTTGGATGGGTTTAAAAATGAATCTAACACTTACGGCAACAGCGTACAGGAACAGTACATTTATGCATACCCCTCAGATCCCGTCAAAGCAGAAGATTTCTAAAAACTTAAAACTGCTGTTAAGAGTTTTGGGTTGTTGAAAACTATAATCTCTTCCTTTTCAATGATATAAAATCTTCATGTTTCATAAACTCCCAGCTATGATTAAGAACCTTACTCTAGTTTCGTGAGTAAATACAGAGTCATTATTATAGTTATAAAAATTACATGAGAATGAATTGATCTGACTGTCAGATATGATTATGTCTTGGTAAATGGTGCACAAAGTGTATCAGCGAGTGAGACAAGAGTGTTCACAGTCTAAAACCAGTAGCGTTATGTTTATGTTGAAATTGTAACATACTATGATACTTCTACATCCTGACATGTCCAGATAGTGTCTTGAAATGAGTCTAGAATAAAAAGATCCCTCAGAAAAACACACTTGTATATAGAGGAGATAATCAACAGTACAAAAACGATGATTTACTTTTGTGTTTTAGATATTACTGTGACTGATGGATAATCAACTAGAATTGTTAGCTAATGAAATTGAACATCATATTCGTATCAATGATTCTAATGACATCGAACAAAATTTAAAGTCATTATCAACACTAATAAAAGAATGTCATCAGACTCATGTAAACCTAAACAAAGATCTGTACGTTCAAATTAATGTTATCAATCAATTATTTATCGAACGTGAATCATTATCGGTATCTCTATTTACTGAATTAATGAATGTTCAACGTAATTTATATGCAACAACAAAGGATCTGAATGAAAACGACTTACACGTGTTAAAATTAAATATTACGAGTATTATGAAACTTCTTTTTGAGAATACAAACATAAACGATGATATTCTTAAATTATCGATTAGTTTCTTACAATATTTACATAACATAGCACGTTCATTAGTACGACAACAAACGACAGCAATAAAAATTCGACATTTAGCATCATTTTGTATTATGCATCAACAACAAGGTATAGCTTATGGCGTATTAAACCAGATGGTATCGTCCCGTTTCGTCGACAAATCGGGCACTTCAAAGAATATACATCAGAGAATTTCAAAGGCGGGAGGGGCGGTGTGAGAGTGAGTGTCGACGAAACGGGACTGAATCAATCAGATGTATGGTTTTTCTTTTTTAAAGTTCAAGGAGTTACTCACATTTTATTTTTTGTATGTTTTCAAAAACATTGTTTAAGTTCTACTTTATGAAAAATACTAATATATTAGTATTTTTCATAATTGTAGTCTATTATAATAGACTACAATGTATTAACGTTAAATTTCGTCTTCGTTAAATTTTAGGAGCCACAGATGTTGACAAAAGTCTTCGATTAAAATTAATTGATATATGCGCTTGTCTAAATTGTGCTTGTTTAGAATTGTCCAAATCATCATCGTCTCTAAGGATTATTTTGCAATATGATTTATTATTAAAATATTTTTATACACAGTTCATTTTGGATAATATTGATCAACTGCCATGGTTAAAACAAATGTCAACAAACATAATCATGAATAGTTCATTTAGTTCATTTATTAGTGAAAAATATTTATCACAAATTTCATTAGCGGAAATAAAGATGGATAATTCGAACAAATTAATTTACAATGACATCATCAAATCTGTTCAACAACGACCACAACAGCAACAACAGCAGCGATCGATGTAAGAACATAAAGATAATCTACGATGAATTCTCAAATTGTTTAACAACTCTTCGTTTTTGCTTTCTTTTTACTCCTATACGATCAGAGGTGCTATCGGTTCCAAAATACAAGGCCACTGCATATTTTTAGAATAACTTTCGACAGAAAAAAGATAGAAAGTTGCGCTTTTCCCCATTATGCAGTCAACACTTTAAGACATAAGAATAAGAAAAATTCAAGACTCGGACACCACCTGCAAATGGTGTGCCGCATTGATCTTTAAAAGATAAGACTGCTAGAGTACCAGAAAAGGATGATTTTCAAATGCAGAGTAATGAATTCGATCCTTCTTATCGTCTTCTACAATTCTACAAAAGTTTCAAATCTCTAGTTCTTATGGTCCTAGTGCTATAGGCATTTTCCGACGAACATCCTGTCTCGTACCAGACATGTCTAGCAACATCAAACGTACATGTTATATAGACAACCAAATGTGCTGATCATCGCGGCAATATTTATTTTCTTACCCAGACTACAGAAAGTTCAGCTGAGCCAATTTTTTCAAAGTCTACTTTTTCTCGTATGTCGATGTAGAATTAAAATATTCATAACTCAGTCATTTCTCATCCAAACAAACTGGAATTTTCAGGAAATATTCAAAACAAGGCATGAATTATAGATCAAGCCGAAAAAGAGCCTAAGACAATAAATAATCTCTGGGATTTTTAAGAAGGTCTCTGGAAAACCTTCAACCGATCCGTGATTCAAATCTAATTGTAGAAGACGAATTGTAGAAGACGATAAGAAGGATCGAATTCATTACTCTGCATTTGAAAATCATCCTTTTCTGGTACTCTAGCAGTCTTATCTTTTAAAGATCAATGCGGCACACCATTTGTAGGTGGTGTCCGAGTCTTGAATTTTTCTTATTCTTATGTCTTAAAGTGTTGACTGCATAATGGGGAAAAGCGCAACTTTCTATCTTTTTTCTGTCGAAAGTTATTCTAAAAATATGCAGTGGCCTTGTATTTTGGAACCGATAGTAGATGAATCATGAATCTTTCGAGTCTGAGTCAGGGCAATGAAAAACCGACTCACATCATCTTTTAAAGGTTATCATTTTCACTAGTTCATATTTTCCAAGAATACCTTTCGGATTGCCTTCATTGGTTTTAGATTGTTCACATGACGAGTTGTTCCTCTTGAAAGATTCTCAAATCTTTCTTTCTGTTTTCCTTCACAGAATACACATAATAATTTCACATCACTCAATCAATTTTTTAAAGGAGGGAGGCGGATAAGGTTGTTTTTCGTTTCCTACAGTTTTTAGAAAAAAAGTATATGGTTAGAATCAGCGACGAATTCTGAAAAAACTAGCCGTTTCAGTTTTTCGGAAAACGCATTTTCAGAAAATTTTCAGCCCTTGTGACCGACTCCTCCGGAAAACCGGAATTTTTTTTTCTCAAATTCGGTCATCAAATACATCACTAGAAGCAGACTTTGACGCTGATCGCGCATATCAGGTTGAAAACTGAAGAAAATTAAACTATCACCGAAAAAAATTCAATTTATCGAAGGACGGTCAAAATGATCTTTTACAGTTTTCAGCTCTCTGTGGTCTCAGAAAAAATGTTTGGACCATTGCAAGTTAATGCTTCCTATTCTCTGACATGCCAGCTTTCAGAATCACTATCGAAAAGCTAAATGAACTCGTTTTTTCAGACTAAAAAATCGTCATCAAGTGAAGAAATAGCGAAAACAAGAGTACCATCACTAATTCATCTGTCAATATCTTTTCAACAACATGATGTGCCAATACGAAAATCATATAGACGTATACAGTTTTGAACCAATGGGACTAAAAACAATTTTCCAAAGTTTAGCCAAGTTCGGAAAAAATCGTGTTTTCCCAAATTAATTAAGGAAAATCTGTGGAATGACTGATTTTTAATCGCAAATATTCTTCTCAGATTACTTTATTGAGATAATATTATGATCTTTAGCACTTTAGCTGTCTCTTTATGATTTGTAGGGTCGGTGACCGTAGGTTGGCCTTTCCTTCTTTTGTCCTATCAAGACTAAGATAAAGTTAGATAACGGTTCGTAATTCTCTATAGCTAACGAGGGAACCGCCCCAACTGATTAATCGCTTTTTGATCGAAATCTAGTGGGTTATAGGTTATCAACCATGCTGATTCTGAATATGACCATGGCGGTTACCCGTAGCCCTCCGAAGATTTAGTTTTCTGGAAAACCAGTTTTCAAAAACTCTAACAAGTAACCAAAACCTTTCTGAATGAGGCATGATTGTAGCCTGCAAATTTCTGATTAAAATGAGACATCTCCCAGCTCTACACGGCCTTACTTTTCAAAGAAAGATTTTTGAGTTGACGAAAAACACAAGAGAGAGAACACGTAGAAGAGCCACGATACTGGAGTTGATTGATACACAAAATTATTAGAAAAATAGCAACAGAATGCCTTTGGGAAATGTAAATAGGATGCAGTTTGACAGAAAAAATGCCACGGAAACGTCTCATTTTGTCAGAAATGCTCGTAAGAAGTTACTAATAGACATCCGAAACTTCGTTTTTCACAGATCCAGTGTTCATCCATTTTAATAGCGTTTACATACACACACGTGCTGACTGGAAGCTCTCTCAGCTGTTGAAATAACTTTTGCACTTTTCACAGCTATCGGCAATGAGGGCTAAAGATTGTTGAATAATTTGAGACTGTGTACCCTGCCAACAACGTTCACTCACTTTGCTTTTTCTTTTATTTTTAGTTCACTCGATTTTTCATCTGATGAATTATGTACTGTTATCCATAAGTATTTTAGTTCCATTCAAGAATTATTTGCTAATAATGAAACACTTGAAATTCATCTTGCTCATTATTTCTCAATAGTTTCCATCAATTATAATTCCATACCATTTGTCAATCTCACATGTTTATTTGAACTCTATTGTTGTTATCTTCATCTGCTACTAACTACGATGAAACAACAATCTTTCTCGAATGATGATGAGTCTCTATTCAAAATTCGTTTGAAATTATTTCGTTCATTATTAAATTTAACTAATGATTATTATGTCGAAGGTGGTAACGAAATTGACATGCGACCAACAATTACCTATTTAACATGTCAATTATTAAATGAGATCCATCACATTCGATTTAACAGAACAGGTTTTCTATTTTTGACTCAATTAATATCTCCTGTCTCATATTAGAAATCAATCTTAGTAACTACAAGTTCGAGTTGAGCGAAACTTTTAGAGAACGGAAGTTGCGTTGAGGAATAGTTACACAAAAGAATGTTTGAGACTCTATCTATTGACGATCTTGCGATGGCACTCAAATACACGTCAAAATGGATCATTTTATAATTTCAAAACTTCTTCGTTAAAAAGCATGCTGGTGATCTCGGGTTAATCTTGAAAGGAGCATTTGTATCCAGGGCAAGATAGAGTCTAATTTGCGGGAAAAGAGATGAAAAAACCGATTGTAAAAGTTCTCACACATCTTGCTGTGTTTCTGAGCTTGAAAAGAAAAAAAAGAAATCAGACTCTTTTGATTCGAGACATGGGTGTTAGTTTTCATCATTTAAGGCGTCTTCGAGCTCTCCATCATTCAAATTTACCAACGAATCTTGGAAGTAGAAAATGAAAAATTTATTTAGAAAAGTAATTCCGAGAAAAATGCAAAGCAAAATACTTTTTTCGTATATTCGTAGATTTATTTCAAAAAGTTTATTAATGTAAAGTTTTGATGCTGACCTATATAATGGGTGGTCCAGAATAAATCGGTCACTCACGAGTATAGATTAATAATAATTGAATATTACCCCTAAGCTTTACTATTTTCTTGAAAGATGCGCCGTGAAATTGTCTACGAAAAATATATTAAACATTTTGTTATATACTCTAAAGGCAGAATCCAACTATTCTGGACTACCCGTTACGTTTTCGATTATGTTGCTTCCGATGCGTACACATGTGCCGTATATGCGTCTATTTCTGTAAATATGTTAACTAAAAGTCAAATACCTACTTTTTATCCCCAAGGGTTTTTAGGAGGCTTGTTTTTGGAAGCAAGAAAAGCAGTGAAATTGATATAGGACACTTTTGGTGGCGAAAATCATTCTTTCTATCATGAAGGAGGCATTAATCATCTAAAGGTTGTTATATTTGTTCCAGACTGTCATGTACCGATCTTAGATTTATTTAAAATTCAACTTGATATTGGTAAAGATGATTACAATGTGTCAGTTACATTTGATTTGATATCCGATTTGCTGTGTCTGCTCGCAGCATTAATCTATAAGAATGTGAAATGTCAAAATCTGGTGAGAGAATGCGATACAATTAATGCGATTTTATCAACAACGAGTATCGATTTGAATCAACCCAAAACACAGCCGACAGCCACATGGACAATTAAATGTTTATGCGAAGATAATGAACAAAATCAGGAGTATATTCGACAATTAAAAAAAATTTAACAAAAAAATTTGAATAAACGAAAAAGTTTAAAATCTCTTGTTTTTCACGATAACTGAAGGGATTCTCTTTCTTTTTTTTATCTTAGACAATCTCAAAGACGTTGATGTGCATTGAAATCTTACCAACAATACTGTGAAGCAGCAATCGATACTCTCATCTTATTTTATTTCTCATTATGTCTGCTTTCATTTCAGATGTCATCGAATAAAATTCGTAAATTAGATGAAACATTAATTAATCGTATAGCTGCTGGTGAAGTTGTTGTTCGTCCGTGTTCAGCAATTAAAGAATTAATTGAAAATAGTTTAGATGCTAGTTCACATCAAATACATGTTTATGTTAAACAGGGTGGTCTTAAACGAATCGAAATACGAGATGATGGTTGTGGAATTTTAAAAGATGATTTACCATTACTTTGTGAACGTTTTGCTACATCAAAGTTATCCTCAGTGGATGATCTCTATCAATTAAACACGTACGGATTTCGTGGCGAAGCTTTGGCAAGTCTCAGTTATGCATCGCACTTAACAGTGATAACTAAAGTTAAAGATAGTCCGTGTGCGTATACGTGCACATACGAAGATGGAAAGATAAAGAATCAAGTTAAACCGTGTGCAGGTAAGTAAAAATTTGATGTACATAGAAGATGTATTCCAACCCCTGTTAAAGATTTCCTCATCCGACCACTCGTAGTAACCATTCGGGTGCACATTTAACCGAAAACTGAAAGTGAGATTTCTTTTCAAAAAGAGGTTGGTATAAACATTGATATCTGGGCTATCTTTTCCCGTATAAACTTTGACTTTACCATTTAAGTAAGTACAATAGAAAAATGCATTATCCAGAAGTTGTACTAAAATGCATCAGTCATTCTGATCTCGAGTATATCAGGAACTTGCTCAACGATGAAAATTCTAAATTATGTTATTAATTATCAATAAGTTTTCCTTCTTACACTTCTTCACACTTGATGTATGTCTAGTCCACTCACAGCACAGTGGGCAATTTTGCTATGCCACGTGGACATGGTGCTTTTCCTAATCAGAAATGTCTTTTTCTTCGTCAAAACAGGAGTCTGAAATTCGGAGAATGTTTTTCGACGAAAAAACTGGTTTTCAAAAAAAATTTGTTTCGATCTATAACGGTCCTTGTCCATACTTTTCGTCAAAATATTTTTTCTTCTAAAATATGATGTCTAACATAGTATTTGATGTAGTCTTAGGTGCTGAATCCGATTACGACCTTATTTTTTCGTGAAAGAGTTTCTGAGCCCAGAAAATCAGGTTTCACCTGAAAGACCATCGATATTTGGAAAATTTGTTGGGCGATTCAGAAACGTTTGTGCTAACTGTATTGATCCACATAGTTTGAAAAACATTTTGACTAAGTTTGAGCCCATTTAAAAAATGGATGTGATGGATGGATTTCACATTTTAGTAAAAATCAAAGTAGTTAGGAAACATTGTTAGTCTGAAAGAGACGTTGTTTCTCGCTTAGCAGGCTTTTAACTCTACGGTTAATCCATTCAACAAAAAATGCTTTTTCCTAAACATTGGCTAGTTTTTGGCCGATGAATCATGAGATTTGAAATAGTTATTTTTATGCTCCATTAAATGGAGCACGTCCAAAAATATACGAGGCTGTATTTGAGTCTCACTTTCGACATTTTTTCAAATATCGACCTGATTACTGGGTACAGTTCATGCCATTTTTTTCTAAATTAAGTATAGACTGTTAAAATCTGTGGTTTATCGCGCTTTGGCTTTTTTCTCCTTTAAATCAACTTTTTCTAGAAAAAGTATAAAGAAACAAATACCACAGCAACAACAGTAACGACCGGCGTAAGAACAAAAAGATGATCTCGTTTTCAAAAAGCACTTATTTCACGTTTAGAAGGTTTTCCGATAACTGAGAACGGTAAAATTTCAAAAAATTTCTGTGTCAACCCCGACCTGACCAAAAGTCTGAATTGTCTCTCTAATACATTCAATAGAATTAGAAGCCGCCTGTTAAAAAAGATGATTTTCGTTGAAGAAATCAATTTTGAAATTTATACATGATTGAGTACCACAAAGTGATTACTCTATCACTTTATCACTTTATCACTTTCTGTCTCAGAGAAATTTTTCATGCTTTTAGGAAAAATATTTTTAAGAACCTCGAAAAATAAAATATTTCAATACCAGTTTTTTCACGATACTTATGCAATTAAATTATTTCCTGAACGTACACATTTGTAAAGTAAGCTTTACTGGTTAACATGAGACACAGCACATAACAATAGAAAGTAATTTGCAGTTTTCTCGAAATCATTATTTTGACTTAGAACTGGATTCTTTTCTCTTCTAGTTTAACTACTGCAACACACAATTACTGCAATCTGAAATTGACGAAGAGACTGTGAGTACGACATGCTTGTCAGAGCCAAAAATCTGGTTCTGTTAAGTTGTAGCCACAAGTCTTCTCGTCATTTTCAGACCAACCCGGGTGTTTGTTGTAACACTTAAAATAGAGGAAAAATCTGAGAAACGACAGCACGTACTCTTTTGACCACTATTCGTGCGATAACTCTGGGAAAACACTCTGGAAAGCACTATATATATATTGTACATAGATGAACATTTTGGCGAAGTTTGGAGCTCCAAAAGTTCCAGAAACTCGATTACACGTCTACAAGAACTTCATTGGTCGTGAAAATAAATTCGTTTTTCCGACACGAGACATCCGAGCACTACAATTCTTTTTTTAATTTTGCCAGAAAAGAGCCGAGATTTTTATAATCTATGTCATTTTCTTCTGGGACTCTTTTTGCTCTTAATGAAAAACTTTTTTACAAGACTCGAATGTGTTCTCAGGCTAATCGTTGCCGAAATATTTTCTCATGCGCAGTGTGCATTATTCCATAGATCAAGCGGACATTTGCTGTAGACGCAGTCTGAAAGCCGAAAAATACTTTTTTTATAAGTTTTCAGATATGCTCTTTCCAATGGTGTGCTTTATACAGTTCAAGGAGACTTTTATCTGGTTCTCCAGAGGCCGGGTCTCTAGAAAGCTCACACATAAGTACTCTGGAACTTCATAAAGCGCACCATTAGAAAGAGCATATCTGAAAACCTACAAAAACTTTGTTTTTAGACTTTTGGACTGCGTCTATAGCAAATATCAAAATCATTAGCCAAAATTGTCACGCTATGCTATGACTTTAGCGTTTCGTTGGATCCAACAAGTTTTTACTCAGAAAACCTACTAATGGCGCGTCATTCGATGCAGTTTTTCACGCTGATCCCACATATCTAGTTGGTTTTGTCTCAACATGTTTTAGAGCGACAATAAATAAGGAAAACCTCCCTTTTTTTTAGCGTATTCTTGTGTCTAAGATTTTACCAGCTTAAATAAGTTCTAGGACAAAAATTTGTTTACCATTAAATAGAACATGTTTCATAGTATATTAATCACCCTTAAAACCATTGAAAAATCAACTTTCATTTTTTCACCAAAAACCTGAATGCACACTGTGTCATGGTCCTTAGCAGTTAGAACAAAAGTTCTTTCGGGACTATATGGTCCATATCTTGAAGTTTAGTTTTCTATATTTAGATCAGAAAACAGAGCACTAAGCTCTTTTGTTGCTAAATGTCCAGCTGGATGGGCACAATAAAAGTCTTTTAACTACTTTGAAAGCTGATTATCATTTTCTTCTACTAAAAACGAATAAGAAGTAAAAGCGTCGAGCTTCCATACAATCTACTTTTCAACTGTACTCTTTCTTAGGTACAAACGGTACAACTCTTATTGTCGAAGATTTATTTTATAACAATTCGTTACGTTTAAAAATGATGAAATCACTTGATGAATATCATCGTATTGTTGATTGTGTACAAAAGTTGGCTTTACGTAATACTCATGTATCATTTCAATTGAAACATGATCAACAACTCGACTGTGATATTTTGACATTACCTTCAACAACATTATATCAAAATATGAAACAATTATATGGACCAGAAATTGTTCGAGATATGTACGATATAACAATATCAAAACATGCACTCTATTTATTTGAATGTAAAGCTTATTTTACGGGTACAAATTATTCGTCATCGAGTTCGAGTAAATCGCAAGCAATATTTATTCTATTTATTAATGGAAGATTAGGTAGGTATAGAATATCATGGAATCTGTCTCATGTGACTCGTGCAACCTTTTAAAAGTGTTCACTATATGGAGATGACCATAATGTAAAAGTTATTCCCTGATAAAAGACTTATTTTTTACAATAATTCATCAACATATACTTTACGTCTTTAGCGTTCACTTCATTTAAGACAAAAATTTTAACTAAACCTTAATTCTCTTTTTCTTTTATTGAGTAGTGAATAAAAGTTTATTTCAATATGAGAAAACTATTCATTCTTTTTTATATGAGAACTTTTAGCTAAAGATATATGTCTTTTAATTTTGACTCAAGTTCAGTGACAATTGCGTACAACTGAGATTGAGTGATCCAATGTAAACAGATGGAGTCATCACACCGTTTCCAGTCTTCCATTAATCATTTGTTCTGATTCAAAATGGTTTTACAGCGGAAAAAAATGGATATTACATGGACAAGCTTGTTTTTTTGGAAAAAAATTTGCATTTTTATGCTAAGTTGCTAAGACCATAGTTGTAGTATACATGGAAGAAGATTAAACTTGAATGGATACATTGAAAACGGTAGAAACCTACCATACTGAGGACAACATTTTTAGCATGAAGAATGCTCCGTGAAGTTAACGGTGGCTTAAATAGTTTTCCCGTTTACTCGTAGCTAAATAGATGACTGTTTCTTGAACCATTCGTCATCTAAATATTTTTTAGGTTGACAAAAAACAATCAACTTTTGAGATCAATCGATTTTTGACTTTTCTTTACTCCATCATGTTTTTTCAACCTCCTTGAAGACGTAAAGAACTTATTTTGGCGAGATAAGAGAGATATGATACTGAAGTTTTTAATTATTATAAAAACATTATTTGTATTATTTTGACTGCGCATCGTTCTCCACTGGGAGTGATGATCACAGTGAGTGATTTTATAGTAAACACTACAGCGGCTAAAATATGATTTTATCTGTTTTAGTCGATTGTCAACCGTTGAAAAAGCAAATATTGTCCATGTATGCATTGTACGTATCAAAATCAACTTTACCCTTTGTTTATGTCGATTTACAAATGGAACCATCGACTCTTGATGTTAATATTCATCCATCAAAATCCGAGGTGAGATTTTTAAATTCAGAACAAATTATTCAAATTATTGTTAAACAAATCGAAGATGTACTCGTTCAAAAGTCAGCTAAACATTCAACAACACAATTGACATTAACAGTGGTAAGTAATTATTTCATATAGAAAAACCTATAGACTTTCTTTTTATTGACATCGTTGTTTTTAGACACCTCATTCATTGGCATTAACTCCACCAACTACAACAAATTCTCCTACGGTTTCAAAAACATCAAAAAAATCTTCGATCAAAAAATTACAAACTTCTGCATCATCTGACCCTTCTCAAACATATTTGGATCCACGTAAAATGATTCGTACCGATAGTCGTGATCAAACATTAGATAAATTAAAATATCATCGTTCGACATCGTCATCTTCTAAAAAGACAGACGATACAGAAGAAAATGAATATCAATCACCCTTAGCTCAAATACAATTTGATCGTCAAATTAAATTATCATCTATTTTAGAATTGAAACAATCAATAGATGATGTATGTGATCAAATATTAGAAGATATTATAAAAGAATTTGTCTATGTGGGTGCATGTGATCATAAATATTCTCTCATTCAATATCAGACACAGTTGTATTTATGTGATACGAGACAATTGAGTCAAGAATTATTTTATCAATTATCTATTTATCATTTTGGTAATATGGGCACTATTAAACTTGAACAACAACCAAAAATTGAAGAACTTATTCGCTTTGGTAAGTAAAATAGCAAAAACCAGATGAAAAAATGAATATATGATCGTATTTTCACTTTGATATCTGAACGATAAAAAAGGCTTCTTTGAATTAAAAGTAATGTATTTGAATGTGCAAAGTCACACGAGCGAATCACGCCAAGTGTTCTCTTGCTTTTTACTTTATCTATGAGTAATTTTTGATCCTGATCACGAATTCGATAGTTATCTAGATCCATATGGCGTTTTAGAATCTGTCTCTGAATATCCATTACAAATTCTCCACGAAACTCGTTCTATACTATAAAAGTCCATAAGAAAGTTTGAGTAAGTCTACGTACAGCTATAAAAGTCTCTGTAGACCTCTAAACTTTTGGAGACTTATGTGGCTTTAGATGAACTTTGAAAATTCATAATTGATGAGGGAAGGTCCCCAAGTGTTACTCTCGCTTTTCAATGGGACATATCTAGTTTGTAGAGCTCGACGAGCTGATTAGAATGGCATAAAGCATTTTCCCTCATGGCTCTCCAAGATCCGGTTTTCTGAAAAAACAGTTTTTTAGAAACTCTAAAAGTAACCAAAACCTTTCTTTGCAAAGTTATAGACTTTACAAGAGAAGTCCTAAATTAATTTCTTCTTATTTCTGTAGCTTTGAGCTGATAACGACCATTTAGGGCTTTTCTTGTAAAGTCTATAACTTTGCAAAGAAAGGTCGTGTAGGACTGGAAGATGTCTCATTTTAATCAGAAATGTACGCGCTACAATTATGCCTTGTTAAGAAAGGTTTTGGTTACTTTTTAGAGTTTCTGAAAAACTGATTTTCCAGAAAACCGGATCGTGAAGAGCCATGAGGGAAAATGCTTTATACCATCCTAATCAGCTCGTCAAGCTCTATAAACTAGATATGTCCCATTGAAAAACGAGAGAAACACTTGGGGACCTTCCCTCGTGAGACTGAAGTCTCCTTGTTTATCCTTGATTGAATCAATACCATTCACGACTAATAAGAGAACGTCGCAAAAATACTATTATATAGGGGTGGCGCTTTACCGTTTCTTTACAGGTAACGCAGTAACGCATGCGTTACTCGTTACCAGTAACTACTAACGAGATGCGTTTATTTTTCATAGCTTTTGTAACGAGTAACGCAGCGTTATTTGCGTTACTTTAACGCTTTTTTGCGTTACTTTTCTAGTAACGCAGTAACGCTTGCGTTACTCGTTACCAGTAACGCAACAACGCATGCGTTACTCGTTACCAGTAACGCAACAACGCATGCGTTACTCGTTACCAGTAACGCTTTAGTCGCATTGTGTCCGGAAGGTGATAAAACAATACATTTTCGGTTGTTCGTCACTCATACGGTGATATTTGAAAGCGTTGCTTTACCCAGTAAAGTAACGCATCAGTAAAGAAAATGTGCCACCCCTACTATTAGAAGTTGGAAGAGACTATTCTTCATTGTAAGAAGGATAAAGACAGGTAAATCGAAGAGTAAAGCTGTCATATGATGAGAATATAGGTGGGTGGTTGAAAACACTCAGTCGATGTAGCTTTACAAGCTCGTCCTTTCGCTATGTTTGAAGGTAAAATTTAGTCTTTTTAGCAGATTTTTCCCGTTAAATTCCCAGAACTTAATTTCTCAGTCTTAAAAATGAAAATTGCTGAAAAATCATTCGTTTTGACTATTTTCCTATTTTAATAATATCTCGTGTAACGAACAAATGACTGAGAAAAGCTGACTGTGTGCTCAACAATTTTGTTTTAAGATCATGACAAAACTTAGAACATCTTTTGAAAATTTTTGAATTTTTGCGCTAAATGCGAACACTCATCATGTGCTCAATTATTTCTACATATCCTACATCTTCAATATATTTCATTCAGATTTACAATTAGATCCAGAAACATTTAATCATCGACCAGACAAGAATATCAGTGAAGATGATATTGTTGCGTATTGTTTGGAATTTTTTAGCGAAAAATCTGAAATGCTAGCAGATTATTATTCGCTGAGTGTTTCATCTGATGGTCGACTAGAAACATTACCATTGTTATTAGAAAATTATGTACCAAATCTTGATTATTTACCACAATATTTATTAAGATTAATAATTAATGTCAATTGGGATGATGAAAAAGAGTGTTTTCATACTTTAAGTGAAGAAACAGCCAAATTCTACGCTTATAGACCACCACTTGATCAGGATGATGACAGTAATGATGATGACAATGAAAATGATGATAAAACAAATTGGAAATGGTGTGTTGAACATGTACTCTATCATTCATTTAAAACAATGTTATTACCCAGTAAACATTTGAAACAAGCGTTTGTTAAATTAACACAAGTTTCACAATTGTATAAAGTATTTGAAAGATGTTAACTTTTTTTGTTGTTGTTTTGTGCCATTTATGTTTATTACATGTGAAAATACGAACAAGAGATACATATTTGAATAAAACAAATAATAATTTCTATTAAACTGATAACATATTTTACGTGACCAATAATTCTAAATCTAGTGTAAAGATGGATGGGATTTGTCGAATGAATCAGAATTTGTTCGTTCAATTGACAAATTAATATTCTCACACATCATAGCCTTTCATGGTATAAACTCTTCTTACATGTAACGACAATCGAAATATATTTCATATAATCAGATGATCAAGTAATATCTTGAACAATAACTGTATTTCGTTGTTTGTGATTAATTGTTCTGTCATAAACGGTGTAGTCTAAGAGTAAAAATTCCGACCTAAAGAGAATGGTTACAATTTTCCAAGCCCAGTCCGGCGAGTTAAGTTTTCGAACGTTGTCTGATTTAGTTCGATCAACGAAATCGGTTCGCAGAATGAAAATTATTACGAGAAAGTAAGAAATACAAAAAAACACAGAATATTCTAAGTTGTTTTATGCTTTCTTTCGCACGCGATTTCGTGATAAGAAGTTTATTGTGGCTAATTTGGATAATAATGTTGATTTTCTTCCTATTATCAACTCGTAAAATTTCACAGTAGACTTTCATGGGCATTTATCTTAACGAGAAGAAGGGAGTAGATGATACCTTTTTGCCATCTTTAATGTTCAGCAAGTGCCATCTTTTAATTTTCTTGGCTCTTTGGAACAGAATATAAAGAATGGCTCGGAAGTCCTGTCTCATTCAGTATTTTCTCAATATCTCGGTCAAAGTTGATCACCAGGTCCCAATCTTTGTTTTAAAATAAAAACCTCATTCAATTCTCTGCACAAAACATATTAAACATTTCTTTATATACTATAAGAATAACACAATATAGAAGAGATACGGGAAAGCGATTACCGTCAAGCCCTAAGCGCAACCAAAAAATAGTTATTCTGAACACGTTACTATGCATCGAAGTGGAATCGAAATGTATTTTCTGGTGCTCCCGAATGTCAGCTTTCTTTTCTTCTATCATAAGTTCGCTACACAACTTTTTCTCTGTCACAGACGAATATTTTACTAAAAGTGAGAAAAAACGGGAAAATTTGATTTCTTCGCTGTGGCACAGGAAACGAAACGGGGCTATTCGTCTTTCTCTGTTCGGATGTAACAAAAGAATTATTTTGCTTCAAGATAAATCAGATCTAAAGCCATAATACGTGGTTTGGACCAAATCACACAAAGGACCCTGCCGGTTTTCGAAAGTATGTCGAAGCAGAAAGCTATATATCAGGTTTTGTAGAGCTTGTCGCGACGCATCTAAATCTGTATTGGGTTTGGGTTAATACCTTCTGATTACCGAGATATGGGTGTCACCATGTTCTTGGTCTTTAATCGGTATTGATGTAAGAGAAAGAGTCGAGATTTGGTAATGTAGTACAATGAGATGTTGTCTTACCCATATTCTTGTAAAGCAATGAAAACTGTACAAACTAGTTCGGTAATGGGAAAATATCTCCCGGCTGTCTATAACGCTTTTCCGTCCAGTTCTAGTCAATTTCCCAATGGCTACAAAGGGTGCGAAAATATCAAAATATCCCGGTGAAAAGCGTTATAGACAGCCGGGAGATATTTTATTTTGTTCAGAATTCTTTGCTCTATCAGGCTATATGGTTGGTGAAATTTTCTGATCAAAAACCAAAGACTTGGTTTTCTAGCCTTCGGTTTTTCCAGAAACCTTATTATCAGGTTTTCTCATAAAATAGTGATATGCACCTCATCTGATAGAAAAATCTTCGGGCTGTTCAAAACAGTATTCAGATTGGTTCCAGCTTTTACTGAAATATCAAAAACAAAGAAGTTCTTCTGATTACGAAACACTGTACTACATATATAAGATCCGAACGCTTCTTTTGCATATCTTTAATGACTGGTCACGCCTGTCTAGATATTTTGACCAGCTCAATTTGTAGAGAATTTCACGAGCTATCCACTGATATTCTTTTGAAAAATATATCGCTTTTCATTAAGACAAAAAAGACTTCTAAAAGAGTATTATGCAGCTGGTTTCGGTAGTCCAACGCGTTCTTTGCATGTCTTTTGTGACTGACCCCATCAGTCAGGATATTCTAACTAGGTCAGTTTGTAGAGAATTTTACAGGCTATCTAATCGTGTATAACTAGAAACCTGTGTCCCTTTTTGGCAAGATTTTCTGGTCAATGACCTTTCGACGTTCAATATCGTCCTGTATACTATATGTAAAATAAGTCTAAATACTTTTCC